TCAAAATTATCACCACTTGAACCCAGTTGTTCGGTGACGCCGTACAATTTGATAAATATGTACCAGATTTTCCGACGAACATGCCTCCACATCCAGGGTGGACGAATAAGACAATCACGAAGCCAGCATGAAGCAGGTAGCAAGCAGATCTCGTGTGTTCATGCTCCTCCGAAACGTCGCCCGACTTTTGGCGGACTGCATGACGTCATATCCCAGAAGAGAGATATATTTATGACGGCTACTTGCTTAATTTATTTATTTTTGACCCTGAAGATATAGGTAGAACGCCTCTGAAACGTCGGTAAACGTTTACTAGACTCTTTGGCGTCAAATCCCGGTCATCGACTTAAGAACAATTGAAAGAGCACACAGTTACTTCAGAGTCGATAAACGTTTCGATTCATCAGGCTTCTCTGTGAAGGTTTCCCGAGAGCTGGGCGTCTGTCGGAGAGTAAACAACCTGAAGATGTTCTCGGAAATGCTCATGACGCTTACAGTTTGTCCTCAGGCGTATGTAGAGGCTAGCAAAACATTTCTCTGTGCATATTTACTGTCTGGATCAGCGATCTAGACACGAAGAATCCGCAGCTTCTCACCGGAGTCTTGGTGAGCCTGTGAAGATGTTGGCAACTGGTAATTTGCTTGTAGGCCTACATAAAGACGTTACATCAACTACTCAATTTGTGTATGGGGCACGAGGTGTAGTTGTTTGAGGCACTATGTTATAACTCGGAATGTCAAGGTTTCGATTCCCGATGAGGTCATTGGATCTTTTTCAGTTTACCTAATACTTCCAGCCGCACTATATCCTTGAGGTCAACTCAGCCTCTTACAGAAATGAGTACCAGGAATCTTCCTGGGGGTAAAGGGCGACCGGCGGGTAAGGATGACCACCTCAAAGCCATCTGTGAACCAACTGTCTAGAAAATGTGTGAGCCTCGACGACTCACAATCCTTTGGGCCTCCACGGCCCGTTACAGAAATAGCTTCACCTCTTTGCTCAATTTGTGTAGCGACGAAACGGAAGTGAAAGGATTGTTGTGTATAATTACTTGTATTTTGGGAGCATACAGGAATATGTATAAGAGTAATTTATTATGTCCATGATTTATTCTAACCGTCTTACAGTGCATACATTTATTCACCTTACTCTTCTCTCTTGCACTACATGTTTCAGCGCAAAAGTGCCATCTTCAGGTGCTTTTCGTTGTACGTCGTATTTATTATAATGTACCATGGACTGAGGAAAACAGCGGATAATCTGGTTATAGCAGGAAGTGATAAATTCATGAATGAGATACAGGGATGATAAACTTTACAATTCGATACGAGATATTCGGTTTTTTCGTGGCGATAAAAGTAACCACTCTACGTAATTATTTAAGCACTACACACTGAAGACATATTGGAAATTGGTGGCAAAGTTCCACCATTCTTAACTTCTGCTTCAGATGAAGGTGAGTGGTCAGCTTCACGCCCTTGCCGCTTTATCCCACTTGAAACAGCTCGCGGTAAAAATTGTACAGGAGGTTCTATGCGTCCCCCGTGCCGGTCTGGACGCTATGAAAACGAAAATTAAAATCTTATGAAAAATCGCACTGTGGCCTTTTTTAGTTATGGCAGAGCAACGGACCACGATGGCTCAAGCGGTAACACTGCTGACTCGAAATGGGCTGCCTGTTTTACATATGTTCGACTCTGAATATGGAGACAATATTTTCATCCGAAACGTCGGTTAGCTTCTACAGGACTACACTGCGTTACATGAAAGAAGACAGTAACTTTCAACGGCGTAGGCATTGATACCAGATTAATGGCAGACATTATCTTCATATATGTTGCTATGTTTCACTCCGTAAATAAGCTTTATGAAAATAGCTCCTAATCCTTCCTAAGAGGGACAGACACGTGGATTGCGATGGGGAACGAGGCCTTCAACTTTCCAACCTGCATGTCGGCATGTAATGTTACTGCAGCCCACGCAGTGTATATATAGAAACGCCTGAACCCGTCCTCAAATTGTACATTGCGGGGGAATGACCTGCGTGGCGGGTGGTCTGACTCGTCTAACTGTCCGGGCATTGCCTCAGGGTCCTTCAAGTCGTATATGAGAGTCTCTTAGCGCGAAATTAAACTCTATTCTAGGAACTGCCCACTAATTTCAAGTCTAGCGATTTCAAATGCATATAGGATTTTGGTGGGAAAGCCAGAAAGAAAGAGCCACTGGGAAGACCAAGGCGTAGTGGGTGGAAAACATTAAAATGGATCTTAGAGAGATAGGATGGGATGGTATGGATTGGATTGATCCGGCTCAAGATCGGGACCCAGTGAACACGGTAATAAACCTTCGGATTCCATAAAATGCTTGGAAGTTCTTGAGTAGCTGCACAGTTGGCGGCTTCTCAAGAGAGGCTCAGCCCCGTGAGTTAGTGAGTGAGTGAGTGAAAGATTTGTTGCAGTTGTTCTCAATTGGGTTGCATAACTTTGTAATAGTCTCGTATGTGGTTACCAATGTTTCGGAAAATATACTGCTCCCATTTCTACCCTGAAGATAGAAGCCACAGGATGAAAAGTAATCATCTGACAGATAAAAGTCTTATAGTGAATGTGTTGTCTTCATCTTCTACTCTGAAGACGGAAGCTGCGGTTTCTTCCGAAATGTCGATAAAGACCTACCATAAATCCTTGTGTCGTAGTGAACCTACTGTCTGTCTCATACCGTGAAGACAGTAACCACAACGTGAGTAAACACCTACCAGACTGCACTGTGTCATAATGCTAAACTTTGTCCATATTCTGGGAAGCATACGAACACAATGAGCAAAATACGGAACATCTTAATGTTGAAGCATACGGTACGTAAGTTACCACGATGCTCTAAAAATGTAAACGTGTTGTGTACGGTCGCGGGTAAAGGCAAGGTAAAGCTATATCCCTGTAAGAGGCAGTGGAGGCCCATACGGTTGTGAGACGTCGAGGCGCCCACATTTTCTAGACAATCGGCTCACAGATGACGGTAAGGTTTTCAGCCTTACGCACCAGCCGCCCTCTACCCCGAGGAAGATTCGTTGTACTCATTTCTGTTAGAGACTGAGTCTACACCAGGGTTATAGTGCGGCTGGAAGGATTAGGTAAATTGAAAAATCCAATGACCTTATCGGGATTCGAAACCACGGCTTGTAGCATAGTGCCTCAACCAACTACGCTACGGCGTGCCACAATATACAGAAGTCCCAGTGTATGTATGTATATGTGTGTGCAACATGTAGACATATACTTCTTACTTTTCTCCGAAGATATGTTTCAGAATTCTCAACAGCACATCCCACAAAATATCTACCAAACCGTGTTAGAATTGTCCTTGGCATTTACATGTTCAGTGACGCAGCGATGCGTGCAGTTCTTGTGCCCCAGCTTCGCCTTCGAACATCTGTTCCCTGAAGATGAGCACGTGGTCTGACATGCTGTAACCCTCCTTCCCTCTGGAGACAAAGTCTGTAGTTCACTGGGTCAAGTCTTGCCCTTACTAACGCACGAGCGGTATCTGTCCAAAATTCTATTCGGAGAGAATCACCAGGACTTTTACCCTTTTCCTCAGTACCTCCAGTGAGCACAGCAGGGATAGTAGTAGGTATAGCGACGGCTGGGGTTTGATTCCCGGCAGAGGCAAGATTTTTCTCTTCTCCATAAAACTAAGACCGGCTCTGGGGCCCAACCAGCCTCCTATCCAATGGGTATCGAAGGATATTTCTCCTGGGGTAAAGGGGCATATAGTGACGAGATCAAGAATGGTGGAGCTATACCTCTATTCCCCAATATGTCTTCATGGTATAATGTTTAAACTATTAAGCACAGGGACAACTTTACCTTTACTTCTACCTTCAATTGCTAGGCACAGGCCACCGTAACACATTTCCAAATTCTTGACCAATCACAATTCTTATTATTTTCCCCACCTACGTCTTGTCTTCCCAGTGGTCTCTTTCCTTCTGGCTTTTCCACCAACATCCTAAGTGCACTACTCTTTTTCCCCCATTCATGCTACATGCCATGCCCATCTCATCTTGATCATTCTAATTATACTTGGTCAAGAGTGCGAGTTATGAAGCTCCTCATTATGCAGTTCTAATGTTCTCCCTGTGCTTAATTAAATAAGCACTACGCCAAGAAGACGTAGGGGAGTGGAGGTATAGCTCCACCATTTTTGGCAGTAGATGGAGTTCAGTGGTAAGGCCTTGTCACTTTATTCCAAAAATTTATGTCATAATATTTGCACTGATGTATTTATTCTTTTCTCGAAACCGGCATAGTTCAGTAGTGTCTATGCTACGGGATGGACGATCGAGGAATTGAGTTTTGATTGGGGCTAAAGTAGCCTTCTATTCAATGGACACTGGGGGGATGTTTCTCCGGAAGGCTCTGAACGTACGAGTAATGCTGACTACAGATCACCTTCTGGTGTCGAGGTTAAGAATGTATGGACCTACAGACTGCATTTCCCCATGTTTTTCATGGCGTGTTGTTTAATTAAGCACAGAAACGTACTGTACCACTTTTTTGTTTATTTTCCTTATTTTAATAAAAGAAGGCTTATAGAATCACTTTACTGTCTTCCTATCCGTCTATATCTGTCCATATGCCTGTGTATCCCACCCCCGCCCAATTTTTGTTAGGAGGCTTACGAGATCACTTTGATTTCTGTGTGTACTGTGTCAGTGCTTTATTTTTTTGTTTTCTATGCAGTACGTGTGATATCAAAGGATAGTTGGCAGTTAATTCTTCCCAGAACTTATTCTCTCATTTCTGCTGGTACTTTCTCCGTGTTATGTCTGGAAGTGTCTCAAATATCAATTTAGATGACCCACACGCTCATATCCCAAAACACTTTTCAAAGGTTGTTAATGGATCTTGTTGAGATCCAGTGCATCAAAGAAACCAAAACGAAGCATACGACATAATTTTCAGCATCAGTGAAGCCAATATCTGGAGTCTGCTTTCAGGAAACGTGGAGATCTACCACATGGGGAAGTGGGGGAGTGTGTGCGACGACGAATGGGACATGCGCGAGGCCATGGTAGTCTGCCGCCATCTTGGCTATGAACGTCCGTACAGAGTCACCCACAGTTCCATGTTCGGACCCTCGAGAAGTAAGTTGCCTCACCCTGTATAGTTTTTATTTTATTTGTTCTCATCCTATTTATCAACAACATTAATAACTCGAACTATACAGCGCTAGATTATTGAGTGACGGTACGTAACAAATTAGAAATAACACGGAAGGAAGAGACCGTGACCTATTTTATTGTATTATTCCGATATTTTTCTGAAGTTATTGAGGAGAAACGTAATTTGCTCCATCGTTCGGACTATTTTATGACTCTTAGGTTACGTATGCAACATAGAAAGATAGTTATAAACGACTGAGTAAAACCAAGTAAAACTCAGAAAAGACAGTGCATTGGTCCATGTATCTCTCGATCACGTAAGTGTCAAAACTCCTTGAGCTAACCTGCTCGATGTGTATACATTGCACACATTCTTCCATGTATAAAATATAGTTATGTATTGTGACATTATTTATTGTAATTTTAATGACGTACTACATATGACAGAAGAAGGGGTAAGAAGATAATTATGAACGGGTATGTAAGGTTTTGATGTAGGCAAATATATATCATTTTACTGAAGGGAAACAGGAATTGAAATAAGGACCTCCAAAACACAAATTTTCGTAATGAATGATAACCAACCAGTAATTATGGTCCTGACGATGGAGACAGAGTAAGTCTCCGAAACGTTGGTTAGTAATTCAACTTTTACACGGCTAATCGTCAGAGAGGATTTCAGTGTATTTATTTGCTGTCAAAGCTTCAAAATCTAAAACGTTAACAAAATTAATGTAGAGTGCCAAGGTGCTTCAAATCAACCTTTAAAAATATTTAGAAATGCCAGCGTCTGTCAGATCGAACCACTGTATAAATGTTCGTAATTTTGAATTGCTGCAAGCAGAAGTGGAAAGATATGTGAATGGTGCCGGGAAACGGGAAAGTTCCTTTCCTGAAGTAAATTTCAAGTCATTGCATTGAAATCAGAATTTAAAACTAGATTAAGATAGAGACAGGGTTACTTTACGACTGCCGATTTACCGATAATCAGTTCGTCTCGGAGACAAGCCCCTTGAGACTCACGACCAACTGAACATTTGCGGCATAATCAAGTAACATCCTCTCTAACTAGAGGACGGGTCTGTCGTTTACAATTGCTGCTGGTCCTCGCCAGAAGAGTCATTCTCAGGACAGAGTCCCGCGGTACTCCTGACCACATTTTACTGTCTCAGATTTGAAACTCACCCCAGGAACAGGGTGGCCCGGTTATTCTCCCAGGCAATGGGTTCCCTTTTCGTCGCCTCCTACGACTCGCAGGGCTGCAGTGGAGGTATTCGACCCCGCCTTCACTCGGGAAAGTCCACTAGACTAAATTTCGTCTATATAGACGAATTCAGTCCGTACCTCACAGGAAGCGCAATGCGTCCCCGCTACAGAGCCCAACCGGTTAATGCTGTTTAGGGAAAGAGTCGCTGTTTATTGTGAGAACCATACGGAACACACACACTCTGTGGTCAGAATGCAGAGTTTTAGTTTGTTAAAGCGGGTGGTACATATAGTAACCACTGGGCTTTAAACCGTTAAATTTTAGAGGCTGGCAGTAAAAAGAAAAGTCTAATTAGGATACATTCCAGAAGCTTGATCACCCGTTTGAGCAACATCAATGTTTTAACAGTGATGATGCTTCTGTTAACGCAGGGCGCTTCTGGATGGACAACTTGTATTGCACAGGAGATGAGAAAAACTTGACGGCGTGTCGTTTTGATGGCTGGGGCGCCAATGACTGTACCAGCAGCGAAGCAGCAGGAGTCGTCTGCTTGTCACCAGAAATTACAGCCACTGAAGAAACAACTACCACGCCCAAGCCACCGAAGAAAGAGCCTCTTATAAGAATTAAAGTATATCTATATATCTTTACTTTTTTATCTGTACATGTGTTTCAATGTTCAACCGTATCTCGTATTTTAAGCAAGAGACGCAATTAAAATTGTTCGCGAAAAAAACAACTGAAGAGGATACTGGAACTTAAAAGACAATCAAACAAAAAAAAAACAAACTCTGTGGTCTGTAGTCAGCAAGCGAACTATACCGACTGAGCGATCGCCGCTTGTCGGCGAAGTTAGTGCCAATTTTAGCGGACAAAGGGTGTCGCGTGGTCAGCGCAACGGATCCCCACGGCCGTTAATCTTGGTTTTCTAGACCGGCTGAGATACTAGTAACATAAAGGTACTGAGAGTTGGTTCTAAGTGCTAGTAAAAATATCAGAAATCGCTTTTCTTTGGTTTGTCTTTCTATTATGCTTCCTTCTCTTTCGTTTGTCTTTCTCTTTCTTCCTTCAATCCGTACTTATTTTCCTTCTTTCTTGCTTTCTTTGTGTAGTTCGTTTTATCTTCCTTCTTTACCAGTTTCTCTTTAAGTGTCAACCTGACATCACGAAATACAAATTACAGCTGACGTGGACAATTAGTCATCTATCGACGGCTCTACAGACTTCTTTTGGACCTTGGCCGCTTTTTCAGTTTCCTGATCTTTTACACAGTTAGTAGGACTACTTAGACGGGGGATCAGCCCTTCGCAACAGGACAACATAAACACGGAATAAAGGCACACAGATATCCATGCCCCAAATGCGAAACCAACCTACGAACCAAGTGTTCGAGCGAGCGGAGACGGTTCATGCCTTAGACCGCGCGGCCACTCTGATCGTCACAATTAGTCATCATTGCTGTGAATACATTATAAACATCTTGAAGGTTAACCTTAATGACATAATTCGCAATGTATATGTTTGTAGCAAGAGAAACATAAATTGCTTCGTGCTAAAACTCACACACAGTTATGATCACATTGAAGTGGCCCATTATCCACAGCAATCGGACTAATGATCAAAATATTCTAGGCAATTTGACGAGGTTTGGAATTCCTTCACGCGAAGAGTAAAATTTTATTTTAAAGGTTCACAACAGGCAACGTCAGAGTGAGCTGCAGTCTCTGTGGTGATCAGTACTTTAAAACACGTACTGGGTATTTAGTTTCGATTTCCAGAAGGGACAGCGTCCAGACTGGCTCTGGTCAGCGTCACAGTTACTTTACGCCTGTAAATTTACCGCCAAAGAGTTCGTCTTGGCGACAACCCCTTGAGACTCACGACCAGTAATTCTTCAACTGAACAATTGCTGTCATAGTACATACGTAACATCCTCTCTGAAGAGAGGAGGGGTCTGTCGTTTACAATTGTTGCTAGAGCAGTCATTCTCGGGTCCGAGTCCCGCGGGACTCACGGCCATATTTTACTGTCTCCGATTCGAGAGTCCCCAACCTGGAGAGCCGGGACTCCGTATTTACACGTATAGCCCCCAGGAACAGGGTGGCCCAGTTATACCCCTAGGCACTGGGTTACCTTTTCACCTTCTCCTACGACGGGGTTACTGTGGAGGTATTCGAAACTCCCTACATAAGGGAACCGGTTCTGGGGCCCACTCAGCCTCTTTTCATGGTGGTAAAGCGGCCGGGATATAGAGCTAATTACTGAAGCCCATTATTTGTCGAGTTTTTAAAGTGAGAAACGAAAAGAGAGTTTGGAGGCGTCACATAGCAGAGGCCAATTCTCAAGCTCGTGGTGTCGCGCCCCTCATAAGCCTACATAGAGCGGTGCTTAATTAACAAGGAGAGCTTTGCCTTTAGATTTAGATTGATGCACACATCAAAACGTGACATCGGAAACGTTTAGCATACTTTCCTTATTTAAAAAAAAATGAGGCTTATGACATTACCGTGCCGTCTGTGTGTCCTCCTTTAACCCTGCTGCTAGGCAATGGTTATGTATACACGCTCCCGCGGCAACGAATACACTCGTGAAATAACAGAAGAACTCTTAGATGTGGCCTTTCTATGCCATCCGTGTCGTTTGAAATAGTACGTAATGAAAGTAGATAGTTCTCCCCAGAACTTCTTTCTTTGAATTTGTTTTGTTTTATTTTTGTTTAACAGGACGCTACAGAACACAGCATGTCAATCAGACTGGCCGGAGGGAGAGTACCTGAAGAAGGACGAGTCGAAGTCAAATTCGGAGACTCAGGTCAGCAAAATTATTTCCTTTCTTCAGCGGGACTACAATCATACAAAGACGTTGTGTCCAAGTCTTATACATACACAGTACTGTTCAATTAAACCTGCAACTCTTTTGCATATAATGGTAAAACAAAGGTGAAGATTTCCTTGTAACAAGCGGTGGAGGTCCATAGGGTTGTGAGACGTCGAAGCTCCCACATTTTCTAGACAATCTGCTCACAGATGACGGTAAAGTTGTCAATCTGACGCCCCGACAACCCTTTACCCTCCAGGAAGACTCCTGGTACTCATTTCTGTTAGACGCTGAATCGATCCCAGGGCCACAGTGCGGCTGAAAGGATTAGATCAATCGAAAAACCAAATAATCTCATCTTGTGTTGTATTTTAGCGTCCTGTTGCACTGATTTTCGTCCATGATATGTATGCAGTGTCCGTCTTTTAGTGCACTCAATTTCACTTGTTATTTCACAACATGTTTCGGCACTACAGTGCCATCATCAGGTGCTCCATTTACGTTAATCTATTTCATTGCTTGCCATTATGTCATTGTAAAATTTAAAAAGTATTTAAAAATGTTCGTCAATTATAATAAATATTTATATACTAAAAACTTGTTGTTACAACACCCGCAACCAAACAGGGAACACACAACACGAGACACGACATACACTGAGAGTAACAGGAACGACTCCCATAGTGGTGAAACTATGCGCGGTGTTAGAATTGGGACAGATAAGCTAAATAATCTTAACAAGTTTTTAGTATATAAATATTTATTATAATTGACGAACATTTTTAAATACTTTTTAAATTTTACAAGGACATAATGGCAAGCAATGAAATAGATTAACGTAAATGGAGCACCTGATGATGGCACTGTAGTGCCGAAACATGTTGTGAAATAACAAGTGAAATTGGGTGCACTAAAAGACGGACACTGCATACATATCATGGACGAATCTCATCGGGAATCGAAACCTTGACCTTCCGACTTGCAGCATAGTGCGTCTATTAACTACAATACCACGTGCCCCGTATATAATGGTGCCCGATAATTTTACATATGATAATTGGAACGTACTGGGGAATACACATATACAATATTGGTGATGATAAGGGCAACAGCATCAAATACCGACTGAACGGATGAGAGATCAGTTACTGGAACATCACAGTGCAATTATAAAGACAACCAAATTGACTTCTAACTAAAGGAACTCTACGTAATAATAGTCTCTAGAGTCATGCCAATCCAGTTCTGTATCCCATAAAAGAGGGAACACACTGTATATAAAACTACGGAGATGGCTGTCAAGAAATGTGTTTGTTTAAAAAAAGAGACCGCTGTTGAAGCGAGATTAGTAATCACCCTGTCACAGCTAAAGCTGTAAATTATGTAAGAGATATTTTAGAGAGGTCTTGTAAAAATATGTTCAAGGCTCTATAATCTGTTTACGTGAGCTGTCTACTTCTTGTTAATTTATCTTCAGGCGCCGAACATATGCTGAATTGTAGCGAGAAAGCGTGTAGGATCAAAGTTACACGCTCTGGTGGGAAATTATGTCTTCCTTAGGCGTTATTTGCGATGAAATAAGATAATAATTAGAAGACAAGTGTACTGATTCTTTACTGCTTTTGGGTCAATATGTATATTCCACTGCATACACGATGTAGTTTATTTTAAATCCAAAATTATCGGGCACATACCACAATCTTTCAAAAGTTAAACTGAGGCCTGCAAAATCTTTCTTCTGGGTCAGTTTACAGCAAAATTTGTATTCTTTCTTGCTTTATGGGAAGGTTAACAGCGCTTATAGCGTCACACCTGTCTTTCTCCGCTCAAAAACCTGTGAATCGATGAATGCTTTTTTCACGAAACTTTGAATGAACAACATGTTCTAAAGGCCTTCCTGTCTCTGTACTTTCCTGTTTACTATCACTAATAACACCAATATGGTCGTCGTCAGAATTCTGAGGTGAGAGCCAAATTTAAAGTAGAACCTTAAATTTATTTTTATATAAATAATAATGTAACAATGCGGTCAAAAATATAAAATTACGCGACTTTTTACCACAGTAACGATCTCTCAAGCGATAACACGTTGTATAAACGTACGTTATGTAAGAGTTCACGGACGAGCGATCAGTCTTATTTTCTAGTCTCTTCTGTGAGTATTGATAGTATTTTAATGTGGACATGCGAAATGTAATATACTACAAAAAGAAGACAGCTTACAATTTGTGCGTGTTGTGTGTGGGAGATGGCGTTAATCGTCAGCACTGACATATCATTCGACGACATGTATGAATAGGAAGGAAGCAGTTCCTAATTTATGTTAACACTAGCTTCTGTTACTTTCAATTTCCGGAAAGCCTTTCTTAAGTGTTTTTTAACTCAAAAGACAGCCTTGTTTCTACTGGCTTCAGGCTCTCGTGATAATTCATTCTTGCTCTCAGTTCTGCTCTTGCCGTGTCTTTGCTCCATATATGGTCACTACTGCTGACTTCTCGGAGGTACATTCTGCCTCCATCTTCTGCGTAGAGATGAGTAACGTTAGCTGGTCTTCATGGTTTAATAATATTTCCCTGTTCACTGCTGCTGGTCCTCGACAGCACAGTCATTCTTAGCTCCTGGCTTTGCGGGGGCCCGTTACCTTATTCTCCTCTCTCACGGGTTCCTTTGAACCAAAATCTGTCTATAGATGAACATTGACTAAACTTCTACTGAAGACGGAGGCATAACGTACCCGGAAAACATCGGCAACACAGTGCAACGAACATGTTTCTGGTGTTACAGCCTGGGGCTTGGTGTGTGGGGACGGCTGGAGTGTCTTTGAGGCCATGGTGGTCTGCCGACAGCTAGATCTGGGATATGCCAACGACGCTATTCAGACCGACTTCTTCGGCGGTAACGCCTCCTCCATGGTGCTGAGCGGTGTACAGTGTCATGGTGACGAATCTGCATTGTCGCACTGCCTCCACGATCAGATGGGACAGGTCTCTTGTCCAGGAAAACGAGAAAATATAGCAGGTGTCGTCTGCACATCAGGTAAATATTAGTGGGGATTTCAGAGAAATATTCTGCTTCCATCTTCAGGGATGAAGAATATAGCGTATAGTAACAAATAGTTGTCCCTGTGCTTAATTAATTAAGCACTACGTCATGAAGGCGTACGGGGAGTGGATGTATATATCCATGTATTCTTTATCTCGGCATTAGGAGGAGGTGAGTGGCCAGCTACACGCCTCGGTTGCTTTACCTCTGGGCAAAGAGCCCCCGGTACCCATTGGATAGGAGGCTGGGTGGGCCCCAGAGACGGTCTGAACGTCATGGAGAAAAGAAAATTCTTGTCCTTACCGGGACTTGAACACCGATCCCTCGGCCGTCCAGTCCATAGTCAGTCGTTATACCGACTGCGTTATCCCAACGGTTTATTATGTAAATAAAGCACGGTGCTATGTTGTTCTTGGTTGCCGTAAGTCACATCTAATCTGATCCATTTTGAAGTCTCGGAGACGGACTGTACTAACTGTTGAATACGACATTCCCCTTATGCTTCCATTTTACAAATTTGAAAATTTACAAATTTGCACAGATGAAACTGACATGTTCCAGTAATGGCGGATCTAGTAATCGACCATCTTGAAATAATGCGCACGGCACATTTAGAGGACCGACAGCTGTACTTCCTGCAGTGTGCCATGGAGGAGAACTGTCTTGCGTCTGCGGCCTACAAGTTGCAGACTGACAACTCTGTGAACTGGCACTTGGAGACGAGGCGACTTCTCAGATTCACAGCCCGCATCCTTAACGCAGGAACTTCCGACTTCAGACCCATGATACCGGAACACTTGTGGGAGTTCCATCAGTGCCACATGTGAGTAGGATGCTGGAACACTTGTGGGAGTTCCATCAGTGCCACATGTGAGTAGGATGCTGGAACACTTGTGGGAGTTCCATTAGTGCCACATGTGAGTAGGATACTGGAACACTTGTGGGAGTTCCAACAGTGCCACATGTGAGTAGGATGCCGAAATATTTTTGTGGGAGTTCCATCAGTGCCACATGTGAGTAGGAGGCTGGAAAACTTGTGGGAGTTCCATCAGTGCCACATGTGAGTAGGATGTTGAACACTTGTGGGAGTTCCATCAGTGCCACATGTGAGTAGGATACTGAACACTTGTGGGAGTTCAATCAGTGCCACATGTGAGTAGGATGCTGAACATTGTGGGAGTTCAATCAGTGTCACATGTGAGTAGGATGCTGAACACTTGTGAGAGTTCAATCAGTGCCACTTGTGAGTACGATGCTGGATCACTCGTGGGAGTTCTATCAGTGTCAAATGTAAGTAGGATGCCGGATCACTCGTGGGAGTTCCATCAGTGTCAAATGTAAGTAGGATGCCGGATCACTCGTGGGAGTTCTATCAGTGTCAAATGTAAGTAGGATGCCGGATCACTCGTGGGAGTTCCATCAGTGTCAAATGTAAGTAGGATGCCGGATCACTCGTGGGAGTTCTATCAGTGTCAAATGTAAGTAGGATGCCGGATCACTCGTGGGAGTTCCATCAGTGTCAAATGTAAGTAGGATGCCGGATCACTCGTGGGAGTTCTATCAGTGTCAAATGTAAGTAGGATGCCGGATCACTCGTGGGAGTTCCATCAGTGTCAAATGTAAGTAGGATGCCGGATCACTCGTGGGAGTTCTATCAGTGTCAAATGTAAGTAGGATGCCGGATCACTCGTGGGAGTTCCATCAGTGTCAAATGTAAGTAGGATGCCGGATCACTCGTGGGAGTTCTATCAGTGTCAAATGTAAGTAGGATGCCGGATCACTCGTGGGAGTTCCATCAGTGTCAAATGTAAGTAGGATGCCGGATCACTCGTGGGAGTTCTATCAGTGTCAAATGTAAGTAGGATGCCGGATCACTCGTGGGAGTTCTATCAGTGCCACATGTAAGTAGGATGCTGGAACACTCGTGGGAGTTCCACCAGCGCCACATGTGAGTAGGATGCTGGAACACTTGTGGGAGTTCCAACAATGCCACATATGAGTCAGCTGCTGAAAAACTGGAGTTTTAAAAAGTAGTTGTTTTGTAAGTCGGGTCCAGTTCTTTCCCAAAAGACTAGGTGCCTCCTATATTTTCACCTGAGAAGGAAAAGACATCCGTTTTCCAAAATGTTGTGTTGTTTAGAATACCTGGCAATGGACGAAGTTTTAAAATATTGTAACTCCGAGAAGTATTCTGTAACTTAGTAAATTACTTAATGCACTGTATTCGTTAAAATATTTTATGAGTGAATAATATGAGGGTGTTAAACTATTTCCTTCCAATTTGAGAAATTAATTGTTTCGAAAAATATACTTTCAGTTTCAAATGCATCTGTATGGTAACATAATTACATAGAAACAAATAACTTTCAAGTTAGCTGAACAGCAAAATGTGACAAATATTCTTATCACTAACACTGGCAAACATTAAATATATTCATATTAGACAACCCAGTATTTCTAAACGAGATATCATGTTTGTAACATGGAAAATGTTAAGTACAGGTATTGTCTGATCCGATCACACTCAAGAATGATTGGGGACTTGTGTTCAGCACGAACCAAGCAATCAATTAAATGACCTTGTTCTTTTTCCAGGCACTATCACAGCATGGAAGTGTTTGCAACGTTCGATGTAATGGACTCAAAAGGTGTTAAAGTTGCAGAAGGACACAAGGCATCTTTCTGTTTAGAGGATAACCAGTGTATGCCAGGAGTAAAGCCATTTTATGCTTGCGCCAATTTTGGTGATCAGGGCATCTCTGTCAACTGTTCTGACATCTATCGGCACAATATTGATTGTCAGTGGGTGGATATTTCAGAACTGAACCCAGGGATGTACACCTTCAAGGTGAGCTATTTGTCAGAAGATAGCAACAAAGAAAACTTGTTTCTTTTTGCGTTTTTTTTCCGTTCGGTTTCGACGCTATGTAACACCTCAGCAGCTTATACAATGTCGTTAATCTCCTTCCATACCGTTTGGTCTGCTTTATGCCCTTGTACGAGTATATCATCAAATGCAAAATAATTCTCGTACCTCAACATATTCATGAAGATAACAAACGAGTTTACTGAATTTATTCTGCAGTAAGTAAGTTATTTCTATTTCTCTGTGGTCTAGTGTTCAGATTTTCTCGCTACAGAATCAGAAGTGCCGGGCTGAATTCCCGACGCTACCAGATTTTCTGAGAAGTAGTGGGTCTGGAACGGGGTTCACTCAGACTCATGAGGATAATTGAGGAGCTATTTCAAGGAAATAGCGGCCCCGGTCTAGAAAACCGAGATCAACAGCCGTGGAGATCCGTTGCGCTGACCACGTGACAACCTCTATCCGCTAAATTTGGCACTAACTTCGCCACAAGCAGCGGTAGCTTGGTCGGTTAGCTTGCGGACTACAGGCCACGGAGTTTTCTTTTGCGTTTTACAACAGTTAAATACGCTAACAACTCGAACAGGCTGACGTCTCACAGCCGTCAATGTATGCCAAGGGGTTAAGTAGCCTCATATCTAACAAACACAGCTAATGTCATTGTTCTTGTGACAGGTGTCCATCAACCCAGAATTCAAAGTGGCTGAGATGACATATGACAATAACGCGGCCGTCTGTTCCCTTTACTACACGGAATCCTTCGCCCACATTTTCAACTGCAGCATTCAGAGACCGTGATCAAGGCGCCGGTTCATAAGGCAGTGATACCTAACCAACGTTAACTAGTCTCTCATTATGAACTGTAGACAGTTCTGCTACAAATATAACAAACTGTGTAAAGAGATAAATTCGTAAGCTACGCGCAGATACTGAATGTCACTCTCGAATTCACATAATTGCATTAAAGCATACGTTATACAGTGTGGCAATGTCATGCCGGCATCAAGACATTGTTTTCTCATTATTTTATTGTTTTATTGCTAGTGGGGTGGTATTAAGTCCTTTGTACTGCGGCCACTTCTGGCCTATTGTACCAGCCCCAGATGATATGTGAGGGTGATTCTGGAGCAATTGGTGGAATGAAGATTGGTAGGGGAAACCGAAGTACTCGGAGAAAACCTGCCCCAGCGCCACTTTGTCCGCCAAAAATCCCACTTGACTAGATCCGGGATCGAACCTGGGCCTCCGTGGTGGGAAGCCAGCGACTAACCGCTTGAGCTATGGCGCGGACTTCTCATTACTTAGTCCAGGGTTCGAACTCAGGGTAGCCCGCGTGGGATTTGTGATGGACAAAGTAGCACTGAAGCAGATTCCTCTCCTAGCATTTCAATTTTCCCCTTCAGATTAAAATTTCACCAATGTTCCAAGCTCATCCACCATCCAGGGTTAGTACAGTAGGCCAATTTGAGGCTGTATTATCAGAAAGCCTCAGTCTCACCCCATCCCTCCAACTAAAAAAAAATTATAATAACAAAGTTAGGTAAGGTTACGTAATTATTTCCGGTCTAGAAAACCGAGAATAACGGTCGTGGGGATCCGTTGCTCTGCCCACACGACACCCTCTGTCCGACAAGCGGCGGTCGCTCATTCGGTGTAGTTCGCTTGCGGACTACAGGCCGCGGAGTTTTTTTTATTTACTTATACCTTCGCCGGGGGAGCCTACAGTCTACATCCGTTTCTACAGTAACGTGACTACCATTCAGTAAAATATTGCTATATTTGTGGCAGGACTGTAATAAGTTAACAATATTTTATTATATTTTTCAGTTTTTTGTACAAAACGCAGGAATGTACTTCAAATTAAAGAATAAATACTAATTTATTTGATGTAAGTATTAAAGTCCTACCATGTCGTGTAAGATATGAGGTTTTCAAGGTGGTGACTATGAAGAATCTTCTGACATCTTCTGGGATGTGGAGCCGTGTAGATCTAGTGTAAACCGACGTTTCGGAGGAAGTACCCTGGAGGTGGAGGCGATACGTTCCTCTGAAACGTCGGTTTACAGTAGATCTACACGGCGCCACTTCCATAGAAGACTTCATTCTTCCTTCCATCCCCGTTTTCATACGAAGCACCTGCCTTCTGCTAGCCGGCATAGCACAGCCAGCGTAGCGACTAAACTACGAAGTAGACGAGAAGAAACTAGGATTTGACTTGCGAAGGGAGTAGCCATTATTTTCTTCTCCATAATATCCAGACCGACTCTGGGACCTGCCCATTCCGCAGGGCGTAAAGCCTTTCACTCACCTCCATCTAATGATCAAGGTTAAAAAAGAATTACGCAAAATTTTCCAATTCCCCATACATTCTTATGCCATGGCGCTTAATTCATTTATTATATGGAGAAATTTACCTTTGAACTTCTGTAATAAGAGAGCGTATGGCTTCAGTGCTATTTCTATTGATGAGAACCTACACGTAGTTATGCTTAGGGGATAAGAGATGGCGGGACATGATTCTTGCTGGTCAAGAGCCCTCAAGAGGAACAGCAGTGACTCTGTAACGAGAACGCCGCGGAACGGTCACGACAAGCCTGTGAGTCAGACCGGAGGACTTAAACCCTCTTAAAATGTATACAAAAGTATGCAGTCTACTCAACAATATTCTGTATTTATAACAAAGTAGACACAATCGTATCAACATTTGTTTTATTATTAACATTCACTATAGGCCGCGCCACAGCTCAAGCGGTTAGTCGCTGGCTTCCGGGTTCGATCCCGGGTCTGGTCAAGTGGGATTTGTGGTGGACAAAGTGGCGCTGGGGCAGGTTTTCTCCGAGTACTTCGGTTTCGCCTGCCAATCTTCATTCCATCAATTGCTCCACAATTACCCTCACCTATCATCTGGGGTCGGTACAATAGGCTAGAAGTGCCCCACTAGCAATAAAAAAAATATTTATCATCAAGAAATGTTGATATGATAGTGTTTAATTTAGTTTAAATACAGAATATTGTTGTGTAGTCTGCTCACTTTTGTATATATTTTATGTACCTTGTTTATGACACATAACAGGATGCACTATTAAGATTAAACCCTCTTTTACAGAGATTGTTAACTGATATAAAATAATTGAAAAATTGGTCATTTGGAGATTAAATTTAATTGGATCTATTTAGCAGTACATTTATAGTACATACGTCTTTGTATCAGTTTTCTCTTTAAAGACCATTAGATTATAGTCCTGTAAATTTCCTGGTCGGCGACCCAGCATAAAATCACAAAATAATTTCACACGTAAACGAGAAGTTTCGTGGATAGCATTCAAAGCATACACGTCCTTTTGCTGGTTATACCAAAATGTTTCCCTCTTTCCTTGTACGCATTTTCCCAATGTAACCCCCTTTTTGGAAAGCGAACACTTGGAAATATTTTGGAACATTCGAAAGATAATAATGAAATGGATCTAAAGGCGATACGAGGATAGGGATTGGTTGGAACTGGCTCAGAATCTAATCCAATAATGGAGTTTTGTATTAGAACCTTTCGGGTTCTTCCAGCAGAGACAGGGTTAAATCAATAATTTCATCCGAAACGCCGTTAAATATATACCAGATTGCATGACGTCATGTCGTACAAGCCAGTAATATTCATATTCACTGTAGTGTGAATCTCAGATCTCATAAACCAATCAACCAAATGGAGCCCTTTTACGTTTATTACGGACATGCTGCTCATGGCGCCCCCGGGGACGCTGCTTATTATGCTCCGAAACTGGTAAGTCTTCCTCCCACGCTCCATCTCTGCGAACCACCGATGTTCACCTAAGGTAAAGAAAAAGTAAAGTAAAGGTATGTCTGTGTTTGATACATTTATTCTGTGTCTGTGTTGTTCTGTGTGTAAGTAGAGGCCTCGCGACGGGCTGATCCCCCGTCCAAGGAGTTCTACCGTCTGTGTATAGGATCAAGAAACTGGAAAATGGCCAAGAGCCAAAATAGAGTGTCATAGAGCTATAATAATAATAATAATAATAATAATAATAATAATAATAATAATAATAATAATCGCGCTCATCTGTGAAACGACATCAGCTTCAGAGATTCGGTCAAAGGGCTAAGAATTTCCTTTAGTCAATCAGTAACTTTGTTGGTCTTCAGATATCCAAATTTTATGCATCGTAATTTTAAAATCTCACTTCAACGTAGTCAGTGTGCTGTTGGAGACCTGTTGCGCAGAACTTTACGTCTTCATTAGAAAGGTAGTAGACTCTCCTCTTAACATATTACCAATATTCATAAGCTAATAGTAATTTCAAACATACATACACAGGGCTTCATAATTTGTACTCTTCTCCAAGCATAATTAGAATGGTCAAGTCAAGGAGGATGAGATGGGCAGGGAATGTAGCACGAATGTGGGAGAGGAGGAATGCCTGTAGGATATTGGTTGGAAAGCCAGAAGGGAGACCACTGGGAAGAAGAAGACGTAGGTGGGTGGACAATATTAAAATGGAGTTCAGAGACATAGGATGGGATAGTATGGACTGGATTAGTCTGGCTCAGGATAGAGACCAGTGGAGTGCTCTTGTGAACAAGGTAATGACCCTTCGGGTTCCATAAAATGCTGGCAAATTCTTGAGTAGTTGCATAATTAGCAGCTTCTCAAGAAGGGCTCAGCTCCATGAGTGAGTGAGTCAGTAGTTCAGGCTGTCTAATGTCGAATGGTAAGAAGGTGCGTGGAGAGAGGGTGTCGTAACGTGTCTCCATACTTGCCTGGAGGAGCTGAAGAAACACACGGTAACCTTCACTCATGATAGATGGTGTTTGAGTCGAGAATTGAACCTCGGACCTCCCGGACAAGAAGGAGTGCTGCTCACTTAGCGGCGATATTTGGCGTAACAAGGAGAGTTTCTCATATAAAGCAAAAGGAGAGATCAGCATTTTTGTGCATAATATGATCTTTGGGCTTTCGAGAGAGTTGTGAGAAGTGTGAGCGGCACTAATCCTGCGTGCAGTTGTAATCCTGGTAGACCGCCTGAAAGACGGAGTGACTTACATTCTCGAAACAGTAGGCTAATAACATAAGATGTGGACAAGGAGGATCAGAAGAAGAAGAAGATGGGTGTTTAAGATATGACAGTTTATGAATTATGTGGTAGGAGGCATATTCACAAGATTTTATTAGCTCGAACATAAGCCGAGCCTCATCTTAAATACTGCTTGTTAGAAAAGATGGTAGGGTAAGGTAAAGGTACCCATGAAACAGGGCGCAGAGGTCCATAGGGTTGTGAGATGTTGAGGGTCCCACATTTTCTAGACAATCGGCTCACAGATGGCGGTGAGGTTGTCATCCTTACGCGCCGACCGCCCTTAACCCCCAGGAAGATTCTTGGTACTCACTTCTGTTAGAGGCTGAGTCGACCCGAGGGCCATAGTGAGGCTGGAAGGATGAGGTAAATTGTAAAAACCCACCTCATCGTGATTCGACCCCACGACCTTCATGCCTTAGACCGGCCGGCCACTGTGATTGGCGAATATTTGTGATTGCTCACATGAAAATGTGATAACTACATTTCAATCAATCTACAATAATTCTGTTTGCAAAGCACAGCCGTGCAGCACGATACGGGACACCCTTTCGTCACGTGAAATTTCCGTCGTTTTCAAACCTTTGCTGAGTCACGTGCGAAGTTTCCCACTGGTACCACGGGGCTGCATCTGATCAGATTGGTGATTCACCTACCACAACACGCGGAATACAGGTCGCAGAGAGAGGGCGAGGTACCAGCTGGATTCTCTCCCCCACAGGGTTGTCAGGAACTGTTTTCACTGTTCGCAGGGAAAGTTACGCATACTCCCTCCCCAACCCACCCCCTATGACACATGTTCAAGGGGTGTATTAAGCGAATGAAACCTGAAGACGAAGGTATGGCTTATATGACATAATGTATCTATAATATAGGTAAGGTAAAAGTAAAGCTATCCCTGTATAATATATATATATATATATATTTAGGCCCTCATATTTTTGGAACCTCTGTGCATATTGCAGCGTGTAGCACCGTTACCATGTAACGATAGCAAACAGACAGGTTCCTACGGCAAAAAATACGCACGCAACAATAAAGTTACTGTTGGAACGGTGCTTTCTACTATGTCCGTGCAAAATGATTTATGAGGAAGACAATTTGGACGACCCAATTAGATGAGAGTTGAGTTCTGCAAGAGTGGCTGAGAAGAGATGGCACTGTAATTAAGTTGACAGTTTAGTTATGGAGTGTTAAATCAGTTGGCAACTGCGTGACCACCGAAGTTGAAGTATCTCGATTGTTGAGAGATTTAAAAGCAACGACTAGTAAACACAGTGCATGCTGGAGAAGACTTAGCGTACAGTGATTGGTAAAGTGTGAAAATCAGCAAGAGCGTAAGAGGAACGACTCCCATAGTAGTGGAACTATGCGCGGTGTTAGAATTGGGACAGATAAGAAAAATTATCTTAACAAGTTTTTAGTATATAAATATTTATTATAATTGACGAACTTTTTTAAATTTTACAATGACATAATGACAAGCAATGAAATAGATTAACGTAAATGGAGCACCTGATGATGGCACTATAGTGCCGAAACATGTTGTGAAATAACAAGTGAAACTGAGTGCACTAAAAGACGGACACTGCATACATATCATGGACAGCGATAGCGTTGTAATTACTTGTATAGTTCCGAGTATTGTGTATAAGTGGTCAATAAATCCACTCAACAAAGCATACCCCGTCTATAGTCACACATACTATGTGACAGTATATATGTATACAGAGTAAGAGTTACTTTACGACTGGCGGTTTACGATTTACCGTCAATCAGTTTGACTTGGCTACAAGCCCCTTGAGATTCACGACCAGAGATATTTTTTGCCACTGAACCCTTGCTGCCATATTCCTTATGTAACGTCCTCTCTGACGAGAGGATGAGTTTGTCTCTTATGAATATGCTTGGCCTTTGTCAAGTGTATGTATCACATATATATCATGTCAGTCAAAATTCTTCCTATTGCACTGTATAAAAGTCCTATCTCAGTCCAGTCTTTACATAGCTAATAGTGCCTATCTTACGTATCTTATGCTACAACGGCAGCTTAGTTACTTGAACGGTCGTAAGCTTGAGAGCTGCCAAATTTAACCCTTTTATATTTTCTATGTGTGGCTTCTCCTTGTCATATGCTGCGAACATGTTCATTCTCATGAGTCTGTATGACTTCTGCTAGTTGGCTGCAAAATTTTGTTATTCAGTCGCTATGATTATGCAGAGGTAAACAGTACTCGTATGATTAGTGAATGGCGAATTGGAAAGGATGTGGAAAGTAACGACCGTGGCCCAATCTGAGGTACTATCCCGGTAGTTCCATGGAAAGACTGAGGAAAGTCACGATATATGTATCGTGGCACCCACTTGTCTGTAGCTGTGAGGTATGGACGCCCCCTTGGGGCCCCTGGAGTCTCATGCAACACAAGGGAGCGTGGCGTATTGATTGTGGCTGTATTCACCCTTCATGCACGGCATGGGAAATATACAGGTGCTGGCACATAACTAGTCCATCAACAAACCTCTGGGTAGTAGTTACTATAGGATTCTGACGATGGTGTATAACACACTGATATATTGGGTTTTTGGACTTTATCCATCGTCCTGGTTTTTAAGATAACTAATAAAAACACGACGTTTCGGAAACTGGATCTGTTTCCGTCCTCAGATGAAGGAAAACACCTAGGTGAATAATGTTCATTAATGAGTTTAAAGTCGAATAAATAGCATTATGTATTTGTGCCTGTGAAAAAAATTAAATAACATTGTGACTAGGCTCCTTGAATCAGGTACTGATGTTTCCCTCACACTGGATGTAACGGTTACACAGTCATGACTCGGTTTCTTGAATTAGGTTCTGGCCCACCTAGCGTCATATCCAATGGGAAACAGGGGTCAAAGCGGCAGGGGCATAAATATGAAACGAAGCTTTCATGTAGTGCCCAAGATTAAGAAATAATGGAGCTATTCCTCTGCTCTCAAGTTAAGTTTCCAAGGCACAATTTTGCTTACTTAATGAAGCACAAGGAGCGTTCAATTTTACATTAAAGGAAAATTGTCATGATTTATTGCAGTCCTACAATGAAATTTATGTTTGCTTTTTCGATATGGTATTGGGCATCTTCGGTTAAAAGCTTACGAATACAGCTTTTATCAGGGGACACGTTAGAGCTATCCAATGCTTGGACATCGAGCTAGGAAGCCATAGAGATGACGACATGGTGGTGAACCATGAACAATGTTAAGCCTCAGCTTCATGCTCCAATCGACTTACATATTTTTTCTATTGGATAGGAGCCCGTAGAATTCAATTTGATTACAAAACAGTTCAGTATTTTCGGAGGTTGTGCTTTCTGACGGACAAGAAAGTCTGCACTATTATGCATTTACTATACTCACTTCTTGTGAAGAAAGCATATACTCGTACGTGTGCTGAACCGGCAGAGCGGCTATCCTAAGTGAGGAAATGCGTGACTTTTATCGGTGTCTACAGGAAAGTGTCGGGATATCATGTTAAGAAACTTGGCTCAGGCGATAACGTTTCTGATTTTCTACCCAGGAGATGTCCAGCTCGAATCTCGTCCAGGACACCGCCTCTACAGCCTAATGACTTTCGTGAATTTCCTCAGCCCCTGCATCGAAATGTCGAGTAATAACATCCAAAATTATATCACGACCTCCTCCTTTCCAATTCATTATTCGTTAATCATCCCACCATTCACTCTCCATATAACAGACGTGATCATCCTGTGATTCGCGAACCCCATGCGCCTCTTTTGATCTATCAGTGTAACAATCAATCCGTTTCTTACAAATGGGTTACATACAAAGATATGCAACGCGTCTAAACCATGACCTAAACACCTGCGCCGTCTGATCTTCCTCTGTTTGCTTCCTTGCTGAACTTCAAAACTGTCATATGGGGGCTCGGATATTAAGTTGATTTGGTCACCTGTTTTATGTAATCTGTGCTATTGAAGGTGTAATTAAATAAATAACATAATAAAGCAAAATACCTTAACAGAGCCGGGATAGCTCAATCGGCACAGCAATTAGGCTACGGGTTGGAAGGCAGGAGTTCGAAATCCTGCAGGTTAATACATTTTTCTTTTCTTCACTACATGAAGACCGTAACTGAGACAAACCAGCTTCCTAACCAATGGGTATCGGAAGGTCTAACCAAGGGGGTAAAACGGCAGGGACGTGAAGCTGTTCACTTGCCTCCATCTAGGGTCAAGACTGAAAATGTTGGAGCTACACTACCACCGTCCTATACGTCTTTATGACGCAGTGTTTAATTATAGAATTAAGTACAGGGGTAGCTGTACTTTTACAATACTGTACCTCTAGTTTTTACCCCGCACGCTATATGTCGGCAGGTGTAGACTGTGTCCACGTGCCGCAAAGGGTGGCGGGGTGGCTTGCTACGCAGTATCTTCACAGTCACTGGCTTGAACAGCTCATATCGTGCCCACATTTGCAACTGCCGGTAAAACGAACTGTGTATTTCTTATGTGCTTACAGCTCAAACTATATTTCGTGCTTAGAGGTAAGTGTCATGTCTAGGTTATATATATTACCAGTAGAACACGAACCTAATAGAACTGCAAGCATATAGTTATACAATATAGGTCTACAGCTAACAGTCTGCAGCCTGAAATTCATAGAAATTTTATATAAGAATTCAGTCCGTACCTCAAAGGAAACATTTTATGTCGCCGCTATAGAGAGCAACCGGTTAATGCTGTTTAGGGAAACAGTTGCTGTTTACTGTGAGAACGATACATTCTGTGGGCAGAACAAAGAGTTGTTGTGTGTTGAAGCAGGTGGTACGTGTAGAAACCACTGTACTTTAAAGGATTAGTGATAGATTCTTAGCGCGTTTAACAGCGTTGCTTCAACTACTAAGATAATGTATAGTACAATAAGACCGGAAGACAATCATGAATGGTTATTAAGTAATAGTTTGTAAATAATTGTGTTTCAAGACTAAATGTCGTATAAATAACATGTATATATTCATCATTCTATAAACAAGAAAGTGATAATATATATTACATATATGTTTCGACTTAAAGAAATAGGTACGAAGATAGAAAGGGGACAGTTTCGCCCTATTGGGGCTAAGGGACACTTTTGAGGAGAGACTGGAGGAGCATCCTCCGTCAGAATATCTGGTAATGCGACAGAGATTCGAACCGAATATTCTCCTAATAAAAATCTTATTTTTGCCATACTAACTTGTTCGGTCCCCGTGTCTTGGATTATGGCTATAATTAGAGCAGAACAATTTGTTCCTGCGCAGAGGAGACATGTTGTGCAACCGTGATTTTCGTTGATTTTTTTATGACGGCCTTGTTGTTCAGTTCTGATCGGTTCATTCATTGTGATTGAGGCTCTTGATCGTTTTACTCAGTATCTCCAGCAGAATTCCAAGATATTATATGTAAATAGGTTGTGATTCCTCCTAAATTTTAATTTACCAACATAACCATCTTTCCACCTCACTCGACGCCATTTCGACGATGTTCTGCAAGAAGTCTTTACGAAGGCCATAATTTGACTCAAGACATTTCGTACTCGCATTATTGGGATGTGGTTATTTTTTACATAACTCTAGGTATCTTCCATTACATAAGGACTGTATTTGCGGTAGTAAGATCATACGAGATGTAACTCCATAGACACATGTTGGGTTCATATCTTGTCCGGGCCGCCGACTATCCTGACAGGACTTTAGTGAATTTCCTCAATATCTCCAATAAAATGTCGGGATACTAGCCTGGTTAGGTTATGACCGCTTCCTTCCTTATCCCTTCTAGTTCACTATTAGTCAGTTAACCTAACATTTGACGCTATGTAGTCCGGATATTGACTGGGTCTGAAAATAAAACCCCCAGAAACAGATAACTGTCAACATTTCACTTAAGCCCTTCTTACCGAGAACTAAAGATAGATATTAATTCAAAAGTTACGTAACCTAAAAAAATATCTAATTGCTCATTAATATTACAGGCAATTGTCTGCGATTCTCATGAAACTCATATGAAGATAGACCTTTTAAAACCTTCGAATATTAGTACGCTACAATATTATACCTACAAACCAACATGGCGGCCGTACAGAATTATAAGAACAGCTTCGCAGCCATGTAGGATCATGAAGTTTTACATCGCGATAAATATTTTAGTAGACACGTATTATGATATTTTAAGGATTATGGAAAATTGCAATATGGCGATCGCGCGCAATAGTTTGGTGTGGCGGTAATACATGAAGAGTCCATTCTATGTGTGGTTATATATCACGAGGTAAGTATGCCTACCAGTAAGACGAATGATATAAAATCAGATCAATCCTAATGGTTCTGAAACGTGGTTCTGACGACCGAATCACTTCACAAGTGATGTGAACGAAGCTGACGTTATGTTAATTTCGGTACCGTTTTCATCTTTGTATTTTGTCCATTAATTTTATGTGATAAATATCAAGAACAACAAAAGTAATAAACAAATCAATTTCTAACAGAAGTAAAATTATCACAGAATCCCTTATCAACATTTATATGTAACGAATATTTCACATTTCAGTACAAAAGTTATGGAGTCTGTCACAGCTTTCTTGGCCCTCCTGTGCTTGGGGAATATTTTGGGAAGTTGCTGCGCTCATAAAGTTCCGTGTGAAACAAAGAGTTCGTCCATTACTATACCGGGTGATGCCACTATTATAGGTGAGTAACTTTTCCTGTTGGAACTTACCCAAATGATATTACTTATAAATTTCAGTAAAAAATAAGTCTTAGATTCACCTACACTAATTACTGTACTGCATGATGTCATTTTTGTACCTCTTGTTCCCACTTTAGAGCATAGGGCTGATTTCTCAGTTTCATTAATCATTTTTACAGACGGTAGGACTCCTTAGATGGATGATCAGTCGTCGCAAAGCCTCTACTTAAACACAGGACATCACAAGCACAGTTGAAACGCATACACACACCAAACATCCATGCCTTGTGTGGGATCCGAACTCACGATCACGGCTTCCGGGGAAGCGAAGACAGTACATGCCTTAGACCGCTCGGCTACCGTGACCGGCAGTGTATAAGAATAATATATAAGAATTCAGTTCGTACCTCACAGGAAACAGATCCGAACCCACAATCCCGGCTTCCGAGCGATCGAAGACAGTACATGCCTTAGACCGCTGGGCTACCGTGACCGGTCATGATATCACTATTGAAAAAATCTTGTTCAAATGACAGTAGTTATACAAGTGAGTATAAGTGAGCCTCATGCAAGCGTGTCTCAATTAACGTATCTCCATGTTTCAGGTATATTCGACATGTATACGGGAGCCAATTGCTCTACACTGGTTACCGAAGGGATTCATCAGATGCTGTCAGCTGTATGGGTTGTCCAGGAACTTAACAGACAAAATTTTATACCAGGCGTCACACTGGGTAAGTGCTGCGAATGTAAAAGTGGTCTGTCATTATCATCATCGCCACTCGCCGATAATTCCATCACAGTGGTTCATTTTGTAACAAAGCCCTAATCACTTTTTCTATGCACCCATAAGCGCCTCCTTCCGTCCGTGTTCGCAGTTTCAAAATTCCCTTTTATGCATCTTCCTTCATTCTTCTTTCTCCTTCTAGTCCATGGTCTCCACAATAGATTTAATTCGTCGTCTTATTTCTTAGGAGAACGAGGTAGCGTAGTTGGTTGAGGCACTATGCTACAAGCTGGAAGGTCGCGGGTTCAATTTCCGATGAGCTCATTGGATTTTTTCAATTGACCTAATCCTTCCAGCCGCAATATGTCCCTGGGATCGACTCAGCCTCTAACAGAAATGAGTACCAGGAATATTCTTGGTGGTAAAGGGCGGCCGGCGCGTAAGGCTGACAACCTTGCCGCCATCTATGAGCCGATTGTCTAGAAAATGTGGGAACCTCAGCATCTCACAACTCTATGGCCTTCACAGCCTGTTACAGGGATACCTTTACTTTTTTACTTTATCTTATTTCTTATGCTCTCAAAGGAATCCAGCATTGTATCTTTGATTTGTCAGTCCTTACGGAAGGACATACAGACGGGCCCAGGCACCCCTATAGGCCTATGTGAACTTTATAGCTCCACCTGTGTCGAAGCGCCATATCAGTAAGGAGTAGGCCTGCGACTCTAAATACTGGGAGCCTCTGCTTCTCTTCACGCTCAGGCCGCTTAACCACCAGCGAACATCGGCTAGGACGCTGGAAGTGTCAGAGATCCTGGCTTGAAACTTCTGCCTCTGCAGGAAATCGAACCCCGTTCTCCAACAGATAGGAAGTCATTTTATTGACATAGCTACCTCAGCTTCGTTTAGTCCGGAGATTGGATATCCTAAGGTTTTTCGTGGTTATATTTTCAATGCCGAAATAGTACCTCAAATTATCCTATAGCTGATTTCTGACTGAATACTTTCCATTACATTATTCATCATAAAATTCGAAGCTACTAGCGACGTCGTTAAATAAGCTATAAACAACCAGATAAGAAACTAAACAAACAGGTAGAAACACAATTGTTCCGCCACGACAAGAACGCCAATTACTGGGGACAGCCCACAAATGTACAGAAGAAACACTGCTGCCAAAATTCAGCTCACTTTAATTATTAGTTTAAGCTTCAATTGTAGAGAAAATAAATTAATAAGAAAAAAGTAAAAATATCCCTGTAACAGGTCGTGAAATCCCATAGGATTATGACGCGTCAAGGCTCCCACATTTTCTAGACAATAAGCTCACACATGGCAATGAGGTTGTTAGTCTTGCGCGCCGACCTTCCTTTACCCCCAGGAAGATTCCTGGTATTTATTTCAGTTAGGGTTGAGTCTGCCCCAGGGCCGTAATGCGGCTGTAATATTTAGTTCAAATAAAAAATCCCTCGACGCTACCGCGTGCCCCAACTTAACAAGCACTTCTATTTCTTTTCTTGGTTTCAGGGTTGTTGTTGTACGACGCCTGCTCGGAACCTCTGACTGCCCAGAAAGCGTTAAAAACAGGATTGCAAGAAACAGTATGCCTCAGCACTTATCCTTCAGGTAAGCTTTAAATACACAAGAAGGGCGTGATATAATCTCTGGATTCTCAGGAGGAAACCCGGGTTCAATACTAGGGTAATCCATATATGAGCTGTAGAAAGCGTAGTGTCTCTACGGCAGGATACTTAGGTATTCCTTACCGACTGCCATTTCATCTAAGTTCCATACTCGCCTATCACATGGACTGGTACAGTAGACTCATCTGAGACTCCATTCCTACAACTAATGCAAGGTATATTCTTCATTCATGTAAGAGCGCTACTTCAAGGAGTAGGTTATGCAACAACGCAATGAACGACGAGGTTTGAGGCTTCAACAAGAATGAAGAATGAAGTAGTGATTTTCTGGATTATGAAACCGTGAAGTGTGGTTAGGGTACTAAATTTTCGGAGAAAAGTTCTGCCTCCTTCTTCAATGTATATGTAAAGAAAGCAACACGTTCCTCCGAAACGTCAGTAATCAGCTACGAGCTTACACAGTGTCATAACCCGGAAGACCAAATAAAAATTAAGTTATAAATTAGGAATATTGTCTTCTGGGATGCGACGCCGTTTAGCCTAGTGTAGAAGAGTCTTCTACCTCGAAAATGTAGGTAGAAATTTCTTCCGAAACGTCGTTGTACATGTGCCAGATTACGTATAAGGTGTCAGATCCCAGACAAGAATAATGCTCTAGTAACTGCCGTGAGAACCTCAGGTAATGTTTGGGCAATATGAGGCCTATTTTGAAGTTGTATACACACGACAACCTGCTGTCGCTGAAGCAAATCAATATCATCTGTCCTCCAGCTAGGGGTTTGACGCAAGGCTGACGTCTTTGTTCTGTAAAAAAATTATTATTGTGAAATGCGAAAAATAGGAAACCGGATGGTCTATATAGTACAAACCTGGCAGAATCCTCAGATGAAGAATACTGCACAAAAGGGGTTGTTTCGCCAATAATGATGATGAAATCACAAAAATCATCAATCAGGTTAGCAACCCTCCGAGCACAGAATCGAACCCGGGATATTAAATTAAAGTTGTCCCTGAGCTTAATTAATTAAGCACTACCCCATGAAGACGTATGGGAGAGTGGATGTATAGATCCACATTTTCTTCACCTCGGCATTATTTGGAGATGAGTGGTCAGGTTCACGCCCCGGCCGCTTTACCTCTGGGGAAAGAGACCCCAGTACTCATTGGACAGGAAGTTGGGTGGACCCCAGAGCCGGGCTGGACGAGATCAAGAAGTGAAAATTCTTGACCCTACCGGGACTCGAACTCCGACACCTCACTGGTCCAGCCCCTAGTCAGTCACTATACCGACTGCGCTATCCCGGCTCTTAAAAATAACAGTATTTCGTACGTAAAACTTTTTTCAGTGTGTGTTATTACCAAAGAGTGATGTACCTCATTACGTCATCATTTTTAAAAAATTCGGCTGCGCTTTAATATCATGATGTTTACACAGACAGACATTTTCTATCTTACCCCATTTAAGACTGAAATATACACACCTAGCTAACGGTACAGTTGTCCTTGGTTAAACACCATGCCATTAAGACATATGGGAATGTGGAAATATAGCTCCACCTTTCTTGACCTCGACACCAGATGGAGATGGTCAGCTCCACGCCCTGGCCGCTTAATTCCCAGGGGAAGATCCCCCGGTACAGAGTGGGAAGACCAAGGTTACGATGGGAAGAATGTGTGTGGCAGGACATAAGAATTTTGGGTGCTAAGAACTGGAGGAATGTAGCATCGAATGGAGAAGAGTGGCGAGCAATCCTGAGGAAGGCCAGGGCTCACAAAGCGCTGTCGTGCCAGTGATGATGATGATGATGATGATCTCCCGGTACACATTGATAGGAGGCTAGGTGGACCCCAGAGATGGTCTGAATACTGTGTTGTAGAGATTAATCTCTTGCCCCTATCGGGAATCGCATTCCGGCCGTCCAGCCCACAGTCCGTACGGTTAGATTAAATTAAGTGAGAGTAGTTATGTGTAGTAATAGTATTTTGAAAGTCGCAAATAAATATTTATTTCGTGTTACTGAATACCACCGTACAGGTGTGGTGGACCGCCTCTGTGGTCTAGTGCTCAGAGTTTTGGGCTATAGATCCAGAAGTCCCGGGTTCGATTCCCGGCGCTACCAGATTTTCTGATAAATAGTGGGTCTGGAACGGGGTCCACTCAGCCTCGTGAGGATAATTGAGGAGCTGTTTCAAGGAAATGGCGGCTCCGGGTTAGAAAACCGAAATTAATAGCAATGGGGATTCGTTGTTCTGACAACGTGACACCCTCTATCCGCTAAAGTTGGCACTAACTTCGCCGACAAGTGGTGGTCGCTCGGTCGGTATAGTTCGCTTGCAGACTAAAACCACGGAGTTCTTTTTTTTTTGTGCAGGTGTGGTGACAACGCCAAGTATTTCAACGCACTTGCAAGAATTGGTGGCCACTGCGCACCTGCCTGTATTCGTGACGAGTTCCGAGTACCCTGCTGTGGTCTCTACCCTCACAGCCTCCCTATTGTCGGCTCTCAACTGGTCCCAAGTCGCCATCACACTGGCTCCTTCTACTGAGTATATTTCAACTTTCGGACAAGCGGCAAGTAGAGAGGACATCTGCGTTCATCACCAGGCATCTTTCGCTGACAGACACAGCTCGTACGTATACGCATTTCACTGAAGGTGTTGTTACTGTCATTACCAGGTACTCGTCACACTGAAGGTGTTGTTACTGTCATTACCAGGTACTCGTCACACTGAAGGTGTTACTATCATTACCAGATACACATCACACTGAAGGTGTTACTATCATTACCAGGTACTCATCACACTGAAGGTGTTGTTACTGTCATTACCAGGTACTCGTCACACTGAAGGTGTTGTTACTATCATTACCAGATACTCATCACACTGAAGGTGTTACTATCATTACCAGGTACTCATCACACTGAAGGTGTTGTTACTGTCATTACCAGGTACTCGTCACACTGAAGGTGTTGTTACTGTCATTACCAGGTACTCATCACACTGAAGGTGTTGTTACTGTCATTACCAGGTACTCGTCACACTGAAGGTGTTGTTACTGTCATTACCAGGTACTCATCACACTGAAGGTGTTGTTACTGTCATTACCAGGTACTCGTCACACTGAAGGTGTTGTTACTGTCATTACCAGGTACTCATCACACTGAAGGTGTTGTTACTGTCATTACCAGGTACTCGTCACACTGAAGGTGTTGTTACTGTCATTACCAGGTACTCGTCACACTGAAGGTGTTGTTACTGTCATTACCAGGTACTCGTCACACTGAAGGTGTTACTATCATTGCCAGGTACTCATCACACTGAAGGTGTTACTATTATTACCAGGTACTCATCACACTGAAGGTGTCATTATCATTACCAGGTACTCTTCAGACTGAAGGTGTTGTTACTGTCATTACCAGGTACTCATCACACTGAAGGTGTTACTATCATTACAAGATACTCGTCACTCGTCGACTGTAAAATAAGATTTACAATAATATTTGTGTTTCGTTTGCTCTACGTGATATTGTACTCATGCTGAGCCAGTGTAATCCACTCCAAATTTCGATATTCTTTATCCTCGAGATCGCATCTTCGCCCACGCTATACTACATGACAAATTCATAGGCCTACCCTCCCTTAGATATTGTGGAGGGAAGCGGTCGTTGCCTAATAATATGAGATGCTATTCCGGCAATTGCCTGGAAGGAATGAGAAAACCGAAGAAAACCCTTATTCGTTCTCTCATTAAATCCAGAATCTTGTAGTAATGTTGAGTTTCCTTTATTTAGGATCTGGGCGACGGCGTTTCAGGCTTCAGAGCCGCGGCAGAAAGGAAACGTCGCACTAGTTTTTGGCTCAACGAATGAGATTCTGCGCACTGTACAAGTTGCTCGTGACGACAACACGGCTTCTACCCTGCAGTGGGTGCTCGTGCCCCTGAACATACCTCAGGAACTGTCGTTTCTCGGTAAGTCTATTCTCATTATGCAGTTCCCTCATCTTTCTCATAGCCCGACAGAGCTTTGCAACTTTTCCGACAACATTTGAACTCACATCAATAATATGATTAGTCGTTTAACTAACTCTCTGCTGTAGGAGCCATGTTACAGGTCCGACGATAGGGGCTGACTTCTCATCACAAAGACTAGGATTCAAATCCGGTGGGCATTTATATGAGATCAGTGGTGAACGAAGTGGCACTGAAGCAGAGTTTTCCCTAAGTTTCTTCGGCTTTTCCCTGCCGGCCTTCCTTCCACTATTGCTCATTACTCATCTGACACTGCCACCTCAGGTGTGGGATAACCCTGAACACTCTCTGGCCCAGCATTTGGCAGGTTGCAGGGAAGACGAGCTTTACTCTGTGTCACAGGGTCTTCTTTGGGTAATGTCTGGTCAGATCGTCGCCTTGCTAAGAAAATGTCCTGCTTTTGTGTTCACACGTGCCAACAGACGAACACTAGATAAAGTGAGGTGAGACTGAGTCCATTTGATACTGCGGCCACTATTGGCCTATTGTACCAGCCCCAGATGTAAATTTGATTATGGAGCAACTGGTGGAATGAAAATTGGCAGGGGAAACCGAAGTACTTGAAGAAAATTTGACTCAGCACCACACTGTCCACCACAAATCCAAAATGACCAGACATCGGCTCGAATCCGGGCCGCCGCGGTGGGAGGCCAGCGACTAACCGTTAACCCTAGACAAAGTTACTTCAGTCCATAAGAGGTTATCAAGGCGGTGACAAATAAGATTAGAGTATTCTGGGTAGATAAATAACGTTTCGGGCGAATCTGATGCCTCCATCTAAAGGACAGAAAACGCCTGCGCTGGAACTGAAAGTTCCTACGAAATTGTGACAAGTATTTACCAGGCTACACGGCGTTACATCCTCAGAAGATCATAATCTTGGTTTAATCTTGACCATGTCTCCATATGCTAGCTATTCTTGACCATCATACAGACAAGGTGAGTGACGACCAGGTTCTATATTCTCCAAAATCGTTACCTAACAAAATTTGCATTATTTGAAACAAATATTATTATTGTAACAGACTGTACATTAAGTGATCGTAGAGTCGCTTCCACCTCAGATTTTCACACGGACGCCAAGCTGACTTCGCTGATGATAGGGAAATAGAACTATATGATTGGGGTAGCCTTCAGTATCATGATATGCACACCAAGTTTTGTAAAATTCTGACAATTTTCGAAATCTATTATGGGAGCATGATATGCGTTGAATCTCTCTTTGTTATGAAATAAGCTAACTAGGCTAAAAATAACTAAATCTTTATTGTTCACAGGAAACGTTCCGGCCGATTCTTTAATAGTAACATCCCCAGCTTCCACTGTAAAGGATACAGAGGAAATCCTGACGTCACTGAAGAAAATTGCTGCTTCTCATAACAACAGCAACTACAATATAACTTCGAGAATTACAAGCAGTCCTTTGTTTCTGGAAGTAGCTACGCCCATCTTCAATATATCCCGCACAATAAGAAGTGCTCAGGCCCGATATTGCAAACCATCGCTGAAGGATAACGATACAGGATTGTGTCAGAATCTGCCGCCATTTCACGAACTTTCTTCTCAGCCCGTATCTGACTCAAGTAAACTCCCTGAGAGCAATACTGAAACTCTCCTCGTATCCACAGTGTCCAATAACTCAAGTTATTACGTCGTTCAACGTGTTAAGACTGTCCCAAAACACGAACTGGATAAAATCGGTACATTTCAGTTATTTTACAACAATACAGCTCTGTTTACGTTGGTATCAAATAACATTAACATGACATTGTTTTTGGATTTTGCAAAGGGTAAAGAGACACACTGTATCAGTGAGAATAACAAGTCTTCCTGCAAAAACGCCTGTCCATATATCAGACAGGACGAATATAACGAGAAAACTGTCCCATCAAGAAACGAGCCGATATTATCGCTGCCCATAACTTGGAGAGGAGACGCTTGGGTCGCTGCAATCGCTTCTATCGCGACAGTTGGTATCGCCTGTTCTCTAGCCATTTCTGCCTTCATTCTGATTCGTATCTGCAAAGGTGATGTGCTTGAGGGTAACCCTAGTTTCTCTTTCCTGCTGTTGATTGCCATTAACTTCACTTATTTTTCTATTCTCCCTTTCAGTTTCGTTTCTGATGATCCGTATCACAGAGGCCTCATCTGTGGTTCTCGCATATTTGGTACTAATGTCAGCTACGCTCTTCTGTTTTCCATCATGCTTTCTCGGAGTTTCATGTTAGCATCTTGTGATCAAGATGGCGGATTCATGAGTCACGTCAACGGATATTTACAGACAGTTCTTTGTTTTTTCATAGCTGGAGTGCAACTGGCTTTAAGTGTCCAGTTCTGGGCTATAAATTCATCATTCCTTGGATCTCGCCAATGTTCTTCCATTTATGACGGTCATCTTTTCCTTTTTCTCCTCAGTTATGACATTTTCCTCCTTCTTCTCTTAGTGTGCACGAGCCCTTTCATTGCCCGCTCCAAAAGGAACTATCAAGAAGGAATTTTCTTCACTGTAGCTTCATTTCTGTGTCTTATCACGTTTATTGGATGGATCGCTGCTTACGTGTTTGTACCCAGACACTGGCAAGATGCGGCGATAACAGGGGGACTTATCGGTACAGCAACAGTCATCTTGGTGACAGTTTTTATCCCCAGAACGTATCTGATGATGACGGCGATAGTACGTGATCATCTAGCAAGTGCTTTGCCATCGCTTGCATACACAAGCACCACCAGTATCCAGGATATCAACTACAGATCCACACAAGTCTTGTATGATACAGTCACGCCTCATCCTCTCATCCATACGCCCGAAGTGACAGGACAGGCGAACCCAAACTTCTATTCCGAACAGCCTCAATCACCGGTTCAATCTGACCCGGGAACATCGATAAAACAAGCCAGTTCTGAAATTGGTTTTGGTGATAGGAGAACAGTTTCGTCCGAAAACACATACGCGAGGTATGATACTCCTCCTTCACCTCACAAAGTTACGCGATTTTAAAAAAATGATAGCTTCCGGTTGACTTCAATTCAAACAAGACCATATGTCTCCAACTCACTCACTCATGGTGCAGAGTATTTCTTGAGAAGCCACCAATTGTGCAACCACTCAAGAATTTCCCAGCATTTTATGGAACCTGAAGTGTTATTACCGTGTTCAAAAGAGCCCTCCACTGGTCCCTATCCTGAGCCAGATGAATCCAATCCATACCATCCCATCCTATCTCTCTAAAATCCAATTTAATATTGTTAACCACCTATGACTTGGTCTTCCCAGTTGTGTCCTTCCTTCCGGCTTTCCCACCAATATTCTATATGTCTCCAAGAAATACTTAAATCAAAATATTGTGAGTACTGTACTTGAAAAGAATCTTATTATTGCTCCTGAAATATAATTTTGAATCCAACTTAGTGTTAGGTTTTAAATGAAAATTGAATATTCGAAACGTTTCACTTAAAAGGAAATCTCGCGCTTAGAGAAACTTCGCCAAAAATCAGACTCATGTGGAAGTTTCCCCCAAAACGGTATCCTTTGGTATTAAGAGTACTCAAAAAAAATGTCCACCTTTATTCTGGAATGATTTCACGTCGTCTATATTTATCAGATTAAGCAATGAACAGTCAGTAATGAATTCTGAAGGCATTTTTTGTCAGGATTCTGCATCAAGCAAGCAAGGATATACTGTGCATTGAAAGTATCTGAAGTTGCGTCATCATCAGATGGTGACGTGCATTATTGCGTCATTATTATAAAATTATTTTCAACAAACAATTCATACCGGAATCACTACACCAGAGATCTCGTTGAAGAGGCAGGAAGTTTCTTCGGTAAGGGTGTCTGATCAGGCTAAGATGTACCCTGTAAGATGTTTTAGACAGACAATAATTGCGAATTTTTACTTCAGAATAATCAACCATGGCCTATATTACGATTCTATCACAGAGTTTTCAACTGTTGCGACTGTGTAAATTTAAGTAGCGTAGTTGGTTGAGGCACTATGCCACAAGCCGGAAGGTCGCGGGTTCGAGTCCCGATGAGATGACTTTTATCAATTGAACTAACCCCTCCAACCGCACTATGACCCTGTGGTCGACCTAGCCTCTAACAGAAATGAGTACCAAGAATCTTCCTGGGGGGCAAAAGGCGACCGGCGTGTAAGGCTGACAACCTCACCGCCATCTGTGAGCTGATTGTCTAGAAAATGTGAGAGCCTCGATGTCTTACAACCCTATAGGCCTTCACGGCTTCTTAGGCTTGGGCCACACGAGCGCAGGAAGTACGTCCGTTGCAACGAGCGTACTTTATGACGGACGTTGCTGAGGACACCAGACAGTTGCAGAATGCGGTGCGTAGTTTTTTGTCTGCAGTGGAGCCAGAAGAAAGCGTAGCATTCGCCTCTCTTGTTTATTTCTACAACGGACGTCATGACGTTCGTTACAACGGACGCATTTTGTGCGCTCGTGTGGCCCCAGCCTTATAGGGATTGGTTTACCTTTCAGCTATACATTTACCTCGGCTAGTATAGACCGATTCCAGGAAAAACAACTGAAACCGAGATCACGAAACAGGCGATTAAAGAAATCCGTTATAAAAGTTAATGTGTTCCTAAACTTGTCTTGAAGTCTGATTTGTAATTCCGTCCAAATGATCAGTGATAAAATTATTGAAAGATATTAACTCCGCAAGCCATGATGGACTGCTCATGTAGGCATTTGCTTCCATTGTATATCACCAATCAAATCCAGAATAGAATTTAATGAATGTTTATGATAATGTATGTTACAACAATACTTGAAATGTGACAAGGAAGTCTAACAGGTGCCTTGAAATGTTCTATTTTTACAGGCAGTAATGTGTGTAACTTGGAAAGTGTACCAAATTACCTAAGCATTGTGCTTCCGAAGATTGAAGTGGGCACTGTTATGAATTCAAATTAATGATAACTGAGTTGAGCGGTTTGAATTATACATAATATCTCTTCCAAAAATATCCACTATTGGCAGCTCTAGAAAATAACATTTCTTGTTTCTATACTTCTTATAATTCGTATACTTTTGAATATGAAATTAACAGAAAAACTTGAATAAATCGATTAGCTTCGGATGACAACAAAGAAGATTGAAAATAAAATTTGGTTTCTTTCCGACGTTTTCAGCGGAGGTAGTACTACCCACCGCAATTAATACCATTCGCAAGATTTCGACGCGCGAAGTGTATGTTTGAAAATTATGTAGGCGTTATCTAACTTTTGAAATAATTATATTTTTCTTAGGAATGTAAGTTATTTCATGAAAGTAGTTTTATAAATATACTTGAATTCTTTGTGTCTGTGCATGATTGCAAGGTAATACATGCTTCTCTAATATTGTAATAATTCTGAATTAAAGTTTTCTGTATATATTCTAGTTAAGTTACTACTTTCATTTCTGCTCCGGCACTTTTCTGCATAACCTGTAGCTCCCTACGTGAGCCTTACTGGCCGAGAATGTGGTGTTGAACTCGCAAAATAACCCCCTGAAGACCTGTAAGTATCCACAAAGTAACACATTACTTCAGCACGCGAATCATTTACAATGTGCATTTTGAAGTTCAAGCATGGTTACTACATGTACCAACTGCTTTTACATTTAAAAAAACTTTATATTTTGCCCATAGATAGTATATAGGGGTAAGAAATGATTCTCAGAATAAACGGCGATTATTTCCGTAAACAGAATTAACCGATCGTTTTCTGCAATGGGATTGCAGTGTGTTTTCTGTTAGGTATGGACTGAATTTCTAAATAAATGATCTTATGGCTTCGAAGGGTCAACAGCATCATACAACTGCGGTTTCGATACAAACTGAGAGAACATCATACAGAACTCAGACGTCTGAAATTATTACAATAATAATAATTTATTTTTATTTATTAACTTCTATAACCTTGAATTGTATCAATAATTAAATATTACTTGTTCCCCTTCAATAGATAATACATAATTGAAAATGTATATAAGAACGCAAGTTATTGTAAGGGGCATTTCAAGGCAAATCAGTGTGTACAGGCTGTGTTCTTTGACCTGTCTTCTGGTTGAGCATTAGGAGAAATGAGGAGCATGGCAATAAGTAGCGGGCAGTGGTTGCACTGAGTGAGGGAGGGAGCGTGGGGCACTATATCTAAGACCTTACCTTGCCCAAGAGCACCTACTACAACCCTTATCTCAGTTAACGTGCTTGACCAGATCAACTGCGCATTCTGTTGATAACAGTCAGGTCTAAATATACAGGCGATACCTCATGATAAACACAGTTGTGCGTCCTTCATGTGAACATACCCCGCTATTCTGAACACCGTAACCGGATCTTTCTTACTTCAGTTTTCATAAATGGTTGGTGTATAAATAGACGTTAGCAAAAGGTGTCACTCAAAAATCACTAGTACACACTTTACGTCAACATGGCGACGGCAATGAAGACCGCATTGATGCTAACGCGTGAGTATCGTTTTATTATTAACGTGCTTTTTTCTTCGTAACTGGAAGGAACTGGCAAACGAGTATTAAGACGGCGCAGAGGAGGAAGTATAATAATTTGGCGTTCCGAGGCAGTTCAATAACTGGAGAACCCACTTCGTAAAACCAACAAACAGAGAAAACTTCCAGAGAAAATACATAGAAAGAATAAAGATAAATGAATTTAAATTTCTCATAGCTGTAGTCCTGAAGAGTTATATCTTCTGGAACACTGAAAGTCAACCGACGTTCAGCAAGAACATATAACTTCCGAAACTTTGATTTTCTCTCTCTCCTCTTGCTCTCAACTTGGAGCATTGGGCTGATTTCTCAGTTTCATGACCATTTTACAGACGGTAGGACTCCTTGGACGGGTGATCAGCTCGTCGCAAGGCCTCTACCTAAACACAGGAAAACACTAAATAAACACACGCACGCGCACACACACACACACACACACACACCATCATCCATGTCTTGTGTGGGATTCGAACCCACGATCCGGGCTTCCGAGCGAGCGAAGACAGTACATGCCTTAGACCGCTCGGCTACCGTGATCGGCAGTGTATAAGATTAATATATAAGAATTCAGTTCGTACCTCATAGGAAACAGATCCGAACCCACGATCCCGGCTTCAGAGCGAAGACGGTACATGCCTTAGACCGCTCGGCTATCGTCACCGACAAACTAGTTTTTCTTCTTCATCATTTCGAACTTTATTCGTAATATATGTAATTCATTTTATTTCTTTTAATTCACGTATTTGCCTGACTTCGGTGGGTTTCAATTTATGGTAGGACGATATAAATGCCAAAATTGGGGAGGGGCCCGCGGCTGCAAGTATTTCTTGGTTACTGAGAATATTCAGAAAAGGGCCCTCTATTTTTACGTTATAAAGTTTCCATTCATCGAGGAAAGAGCCGTGACGTATACACCCTTAAATACCTAATATAAACAAAATCCATCCTACAGTTCAGGCTCAAATAAGGCATACACAGTTACAGAGAGGTAGACACTTCAAAAAGCGGCTTTTTCATATTCGAGGGGCCGGGGGAGGCGGGTAAAAACACGTAAATCCGTCCAAATTTGGACATATATTTTTTCAAACACACACTTTCCCCATATATAATACGTGTATGAAAAATGGCTCATATTACTGGGCCTTATGCCCATCAAGGGCCGCGCCATAACTCAAGCAGTTAGTCGCTGGCTTCCTATCGCGGCGGTCCGGGTTCTATCCCGGGTCTGGTCAAGTGGGATTTGTGGTGGACAAAGTGGCGCTGTGGCAGGTTTTCACAAAGTACTTCGGTTTCCCCTGCTAATCTTCATTCAACCAATTGCTCAACAATCACCCTCACCTATCATCTGGAGCTAGTACAATAGGCCAGAAGTGGCCGCAGTACAAGGGACTTAGTCCCACACCACTAGCAATAAAAAGAAAAATGCCCATCAATGACGAGTTACGGAAACCGAATACTCTACCAATATATTTCGAATTTGTGCTGCATTTATTTACCCAAATATTTTTATCTCGTGTAATACTTTCACTGAATTTTACCGTTGTTTTTTCAGTCCTTCTATTATGACCATAAATTCAGGTACACTCAGCGACAAGTTTCAACACTCGACATTCTCCAAGGCCTTCATGCAACTTGTTGTCTACAACTCTTGTTAGGTATGGGTATGAAACTTGGTTTCTCGCCACAGGAGAGGAATACAGACGGAGACTAAGGAGAACAGAAAACTCAGAAGTATTTTTGCAACAAAAAGAGAAAAGTAACAGGAAGAAGGATACAATTATATAACCATAAGCTTCATTATTTCCTCCTGTTAGTAAAATAAGTTTAGGAAAATCTAGCCAAGGAAATTTTTAAAGGCGGGAATTATAGCAAATATTTGGGAACATAGAAATGCGTAAGATATTTTAGTCGATAAATCTCAAGAGAAGAATCATTTGGGAGTCGAAGATTAGGATAATATTAAGATGGATTCTAGAAAACCACAGTATGGGTCTGCAAACTGCATTAACGTAGAAGACTTTTGTGAGCAAGTATATTAATCTTCGTTTTCGTTTAAAATTAAAAAATTAAAAAAAATCCGTGGCTTTAGTCTGCAAACGAAATATACCGACTGAGCGACTGCTGCTTGTCGGCGAAGTTAGTGCAAAATTTTGCGGATAGAGGGTGTCGCATAGTCAGCGCAATGGATCCCCACAGCAGTTAATTTCGGTTTTATAGACCGGTCTTCGTATTCGTTCACAGCGGGATATTCACTGACCATCTTAGAAAACTATTGACGCCCCTCTTCCTTTCCTCTAAGGTCAATTTTAACGTAATTACAAGTAGGACCTGGTCTCCCAAGTGGTCCTTTCTTTTCAGGTTTTCCAACTAAAATACGTATTCCTCCTTTTATTGATTCGCGGTGCACGTATCGTCAATTTCACCATCTTTTATTTAATTATTATAAAACAGTCGGCGAAAAAAAATATTAAATTTCTCATTACGTAACTTTCTCTGTGACAAGAACTTTAATAAAATCAATTATTTTAACTCTCTAAAGCCTGAAGTCAAGTCAAAGTCACATTGGAACTGATGGTCAGTCAGTCAGTAAGTCTTCGTGTCAAGCACCACCTGGGGCTCATGACTAATTATTTATTACTATTTGACAGTTATGGTCTTATTTTTGTGGGGGACCTCTCTGACGAGAGGATGGGTCTGTTTTTTGTATATGCTGCTGATCCTTGCCAGCGCAGTCTTTCTTGGATCCCAGTCCCTTGGTACTCGCGACCATATTTTACTGTCTCAGATTTGAGACTTCCCTTTTCGTCGCCTCCAACGACTGGCAGGGTCACGGTGGAGGTGTTCGACCCCGCTCTGAAGCCTGAAACTCATATAGATAACGTTTTTACATCCAGTCCGTACCTCACAGGAAACATTACGTCTCCGCTACAAAGCCCAACCGGTTAATGCTGTTTAGGGAAACAGTAGCTGTTTATTGTGAGAACCATACGGAACCCATACATACACATTGTATGTTAAAGCAGGTGGTACATATAGTAACCATTGAGTTTTGTATGGTTTCAGAGAAGAAAGGAGGCGTACTTTAAAAACAACACCAACAGTCTCCAAAGGCAATCACATGAAACACTTCTGAGAGGTAAAAGACAATGGCCAAGATTCGAAGTGATTGCATATGAGATATAGTAATTGTTGTCTACTTCAAATGCAGGCGTATGTGACTGTTTCATTACCGACGGAGCTATTGATGATCACAGCTGCATTCGCGCAGAGCACATTTAATGCTGTATTGATTTATGGCAGTTAATCGCATCCTGTGGCCAGCAAGACGCTGATGTTCCACGACGAATATCTAGGCGCTCAGTAACTACATAACTGTCTGGCTTGTCGTTCACTAAATTCACAAATTTCACACATATTTCTGTCACATTTGAAAGAATTTTATGCGTAAAGGATATTGGTGGGATAGCCAGCTGGAAAAAACCACTGGGAAGACAAAGGCGTAGGTGGGTAGACAATATTAAAATGGATCTTACAGAGATAGAATGGGATGGTATGGATTGGATTGATCTGGTTCAGGATAGGGACAAGTGGAGGGCTCTTGTGAACACGGTAATGAACATTCGGGTTCCATGAAATTTTGAGTTCTTGAGTAGCTTCAAAATTGGCGGCTTCTCAAGAAGGGCTCAGCTCTATGAGCGAGCGAGTGAGTGTGTTTCTTCAGAAAGAATGCTTCCTTGTAGTTTCTTTGGGTGTTTTTACTTCGCGTGTATCTTCTCTTTCTCCGTGTGTCACTATTCTCTCTAACTATTTCTCTCTCCATCTTCCTTTCTTATCTTTATTTTATTCCTTTATAGATCTGTCTCCAGGAGCCGGAGTAGCTCAGTCGGTATAGCGAATGGCTGCGGGCTGGATGACTGAGGAGTTGGAGTTCGAGTCCCGGTAGGGTCAGGACCGGCTCTGGGGTTCATCAAACCCCATATCCAATTGATACCGTGGGGGGGGGGGTTTCCCCGGGGGTAAAGAGGCCGGAACGTGCAGCTGACCACTCACTTCCAGCTAGTGCCGAGGTCAAGAATATGTGGATCTATATACCCACTCCCTTATACACTTTCATGGGGTAGTGCTTAATTAGTTAAGCACAGGGACAACTTTACCATTTTTTATATATCTGTCTCCTCTTCCTTTCTATCTTCATATCCTTCTCTCTTTTCCATATTCTTTCTTCCTTTCAGTTGTCTCATCAACACGCCTTTCCAGAGGCAAGTACTTCCTTTTTTTACTCATTCGTATTTCATTTAACGCCTTCAATAACCCAGATTATACAGCGTTGAATTATTCGATCATACTAAATAATTTGTTGGAAAGAATATGCATGGAAGGGGTCGTGGCCTGATTTAAGATTCTACCGAGACATTTGCCTGAAATAACTAAGGAAATCCACGTAAAACCTCATTTACTATAGGCAGTGTACCGTCCATGGGATGGTATTGATTGGATAGATCTGGCTCAGGATAGGGACCAGTGGAGGGCTCTTATGAACACGGTAATATTCTTGAGCAGATCTGGAATTGGCGGCTCCTCCAGAAGGGCTCAGCTCCATGAGTAAGTAAGTAAGTAAGTAAGTAAGTGCACCGTCCGAGATTCCAAGTAAGTACGCTACCGCCCACCCCCCAAATATATATTAAGCAAAATTACCTCCTGAGCCGGTAAGTTTTTCAAAATGGCCTCAACAAAGATTCTTGTGCACAGAACTGCCTCGTCCCGAACAATATACACGTATGTGGGTTGTAAATGACGTGTGTTTGATGTCTCACGCAGTTTTCGTGGCGGCCATGTTTGTCCTATGTGAGACAGAGAAGGCGGGCGAGCCTAAGTGCGACCATATCGGCTACTCCCCACACACAATAAGAAAGGAAATATGTGGCTCAGATGGACAGACGTACAGCAATGAAAAGCACCTCGAGTTTGAAAACTGTCTCTACAAACGAGGTAAGGAAAAAGATTCTGAATTTGGGCCCAGTGGTTCTTATTATGGCTGTATGCAGCTCCACAGGCTTCCGAACGAGCCTCAAGATGACACTCATGTGTCCTACTGGGCGCTCAATGGAGAGCACCCAAACATGCTACGAAATTCGTTACGTTGTGCAACACCAGAGGCTGTCCTGGAGACGCGAGAGTTTAGGTTCATACTTTTTGGATGCGGATCAAACTGTAATTTTGATTGTTTTAATTGACGACAGACAAAAAGGAACAAAAACAAACTCCGTGGTCTAATTCCTTAAGCGAACAATACCGACCGGGCGACCGCCGTTTGTCGGCGAATTTAATGCCAACTTTTGCGGATAGAGGATGTCGCGTGGTCAGCACAACGGATCCACACGCCCATTAATCTCGGTTTTCTGGACTGGAGTCGCTTTTATTTGAAATAGCTCCTCAATTATCCTCACGAGGCTGAGTGGACCTCGTTCCAGACCCACTACTTCTCAGAATTTCTGGTAGCGCCGGGAATGGAACCCGGACCTCTGGATCTGTAGCCAGGAACTCTGACCACTAGAACGCAGAGGCTGCCTTAATTAGCCACAGTAAACATTAATTTACTCTCGTATTTATTATTAAATATTGTGACGAAGAACCATTTAATATATATATAATTTATTTTATTTGCTTCTGTTTTTTTTTCTTGAATATTCTGATGAAACTAATATTCTCGTACAGATGAGAGTCCGTCATTACTATCTTCTTCAGCATAGGAAACAGCTCGTAAATGCCATAAGTTTATATAAAATTTATTTCATAATCTAAATATTTAAAAAATTTTATTTTAATTTCGATAGTGTCCTATGTTTATTTTTTGAAAAGGGTTTATTTGTCCATTTCCATATATACTCGTGCATATATATAAACTTTCTTTGTTTAACTGAACTTCAGCCAACATACTTCCTACGCTAAATAAACCGTGAAGTCAGCATCCAAGTATATCTAATTTATTTTCTAATACTGATTAAGTAGCATTAAAATTCCTACATGTTTCGGCCATAGATAACAATCTTCAAGGGGGAGAGGAGATTTAAAGAAAACTACGATTCTTCTGTGTGTATGAAGCAAGAAATTTAAATTAAACAACTAGAACTATCGGAACGTAGTAGCGCGGTTAGTTGAGACACTATGCTACAAACCGTCATGTCGCGGGTTCTATTCCCGATGAGATCATTATATTTTTATTGACGTAATCCTTCAAGCCGCGCTATGGCCTTGGGGTCGAATCAGTCTCTAACAGAAATGAATACCGGGTATCTTCCTTGGGGTAAAGGGCGGCTGCTGCGTAAGGCTGACTTCACCGCCATCCGCGACCCGATTTTCTAGAAAATGTGGGGGGCCTTGACGTCTCACAACCCTAAGGGCCTCCACGGCCTGTTAATGGGATTTTAGTGTTATTTCTTTTTTAGAGTTTTGTCTATTACATAGTATATTATTAAAAAGAAAACTGTCAGGTCCCTGACGAAGTGTGTGTACATGTATTGATTAATTATAAATGTCTGTTTCAGAAATCAAAAAAGTGAAAAACGGATGGTGTAAGGAAGAAGATCAAAAGAGAGCTGAAGAACATCGTAGAAAACTAGGGGAAGAATATATAAAGAAGCTAAGGGAGGCACAAAAGGAAGGCTAGATCCCTGCCTGATATTGAAAAAGTGGTCTTAGGAAACAGCATTTGTGTTTTTCTTACAAACTGTATAGCCCTCAAACGAACAATTATAGGCTATATACATTCTGATACAAAAATGTAATTCTTTTTTAATCATTTCAGCCTAATTTCCTTATTTTGCAAGGTAATATAGACTGATTTATTTTGGTTGTTCCCTCTAATAAATGTAGAACCAACGAAATGATTTCCATAAAACTTGGTACAAACATCATGCTGTTACATACTGCCGCGCTTTTGTGTTGCTTAAACGTTAAAGCTGTTTCGATGTTACATTTAGTGACTTCATAAAGATGACAGCCAAAAAGCTGTAGCATCATGAATCTTTTTAGTAGCTTCTATTTTTGTGCGCAAGTCATGAACATAATAACATGACATTTATTACGTAATTATAAATAAGGATGTTATTCAAATAAGAATAAACTTATGGTTACTAACAGAACATCACTTTGACAAATTACCTTTGAAAAAATATTAGAACACCAAGGAAAATATATAAAAGTAAAAAAAAAAATATGCTCCTTTGGCTTAAAATCCTACGTACACAACATTATGATGTAATTACAACTTTTTTGCATTCAGTTTTTTTTAATCGACATAAATCAACATATCAGAATTAATTTAAAAAGCTAGTTTCCTTTACTTTGCCATAGTAACCTTGTTGACCATTTTATTTTATTTTTTTAATATTAATATTTGACGTAGTAATTTATAATCATGACATTAAGAAACCGTACTAAGATAAATCACCTCAAACCTTGACAATTCACTAAGACGACCTTGGTCTTCTAGAGTTTTGTTCAACACAACTGAACAAAAGAACAGACACGGATCTGAAATCACTGATGTATAAATACACGTTAACAAAACGTCTTGAAGGCAAGGAAGTGGGGCCATTATTCGTGGTTCTGTGTCCACAAATACAAGCGTCACCAAAGCGAACGCGATGAAGACACTTGCAGCATTAGTATGTAAGTATGTTACCATCTGAATTATATACGAAAATAAGTCATTCATCTCTCGTTTCATTATGAGCTCTTCGCAAAAATTGTCTATCTATGGAATAGAATCATAATAACGCCGTTAGATCGATAAACGCTCTGGTTCCAGGTAGCATTAATTCTCCCGGTAGATGGATTATAATACACAAGATAAAGAGGATGCGAAGGGAAGTGCATGTAACACGCATGGGGGAGAAGAGAAATACGTACAGGGGTTTGGTGGGAAAGTCAGAAGGAAAGAGACCACTAGGAAGATTTAGACATAGAAGAAATCTTTTTCTTCCATCCCTCTATCCTCCTCCATCTTCCGCGGCATTTCCACTAATCGTATTACAATTAGCCGTTACTGCTAACAGTGTAGCCAAATGAAACATACGTGGACACATAACACTATTTTGAAGAAACTAAATAAATACATCCGTGGAGAACAGCCCTTCTCGAGACGCCACTAGCTGAACTTGTTAAGAAATCCCCAGCCTTTTATGGAACCCGGAAGTTGAAGATCTGTAGCTTTCACGGCAGCTTCTTACTTACTTCCTTACTTACTTATGGAGCTGGGCCCTTCTTGAGGGGAAACCAAATCTGCAGCTACTCAAGAATTTCCGAGCAATTTATGGAACCCGAAGGTTCATTACCATGTTCACAAGAGTTCTCCACTGGTCCCTATCTTAAGCCAGATCAATCCAATCTGTACCATCTTATCCTATCTCTCTAAGATCCATTTTAATACCGTTCACCACCTACGCCTTCCTCTTCCCAGTGGTCTCTTTCCTTCTGGCTTTCACGGCAGCTAAAGATGAAAAAAAATTAGCCGTGCAGAATGGTTAAATATTACCGATGTTTCAGGAACCATTTCTGGCCCCATCTTCAGTGTCTGGTGTTTAAATCTGAGATGGGAAAAGATGGTCTCTGAATTGTCAGTAATTTTTAAACAGAAAACATGGCTGGTACTCCGAGAAGGTTTTATGAACCCGAGGGCTCATAATCGTATTCACAAATGCCGGCAAATGATCCTTATGCTGAGCCAAATGAATCCAGTCTACATAGAATTGTTCCATATGTTTAAATAACACAGTTGTGTTGGCTGCTGCAACGTGGGCGACGTGTCTGGCGGATGGAGTCGAGGAACCCGACTGTGATCATATCGGCTACTCTCCACACACAATAAGAAAGGAAATATGTGGCTCAGATGGACAGACGTACAGCAATGAAAAGCACCTCGAGTTTGAAAACTGTCTCTACAAACGAGGTGAGGAGAACGGTTCGGCTTAAAAATGTAGCAGATAAATTCTGCCAAATAATGTATCTAAGATTTAATTTTGGGTTGCTGGATTGTATAAAAACATATTTGAAATGTTTCCTTGTTTTACATGTGCATCACTATTCATCTAAACTTACGCTTCCTTTATCAATATATTTATTTACCTTCCGTTCGTTATTAGGGGCAGGCCATAGCGTAGTTGGTTGAGGCACCATGCTACAAGCCTGAAGGTCGCGGGTTCGATTCCCGATGATGTCACTGTATTTTTCAATCTATCTAATCCTTCCAGTCGCACTATGGCCCTGGGGTCGACTCAGCCTCTAATAGGAGTACCAGGAATTTCCTTGGGGTAAAGGGTGGCCGGAACATAAGGCTGACAAGCTCGCCGCCATCTCTGAGCCGAATATCTAGATAGTGTACGAGCCTCGACGTCTCATAACGCTATGGGCCTCCACGGCCTGTTAGGGGGACAGCTTTACCCTACATATTCGTTATTATGATTTGTTTGAACCCAAGACATCAGTTACTGTGGTCTACGATCTCATGTTTTCAGTAATTACCAAGGTTAAAGATGGATGGTGTAAAGAAGAGGATCAGAAGCGAGCAGACGAAAGAAGGAATCATCTTGCTGAAGAAGAAGCCAAGAGAATCCAAGAAGTCCTGGAACATCCCAAGCCCTCCACCTAAGAAGCAATGAAAAAAGTGCACATTTTGAAGTGCGCGAAAGTGATTGCTGTATGTCACGTATGTATGCACTGGTTTCGTAATCTTTATTTGCCGAAAAAATGTAGACACTAGAATGTTAGTAAAACGATAATTAATCCTAGATTCCAGATTATTATCATCAACCTTTCTACAGTAACAAGTACAAACTGATGCATATGGTGACACAGATGAAAACAATAAACTGTTATTATTTTGGACACTGTACGTTGTCTTGAGTTTTTCTAAACATAACATTTCGGAAACTCGATCTGTTTCTTGGATCCCTGATCCAGGATGGAGACTATATCTTTCCACCGAGTTAAACTCAGTAAACAAGTTTCCTCAACAAACGTGTGATGAAACAGATCCAGTTACCGAAACGATCTGTTTTAATAAAAATGAAGATCGTGGACAATATTCAAAATAATGACGATCATCTATTGCACTAACCATGGTACGTCACGCCCTTTACCTTACGGAAGAACAGTCAGTTCTATGTAATTAAGTTTGAATTTCCTATCGGAGAATGAATGCCGGAATTTTGTTGAAAATATTCCCTTATTCTGCTAGAAATATACTGACCTTTTGGAAGAACTTAACTATCTTCACCTTGATGGTCGACGAATAGACCAAGAAAGTAAACAAATAAGCAGAAATTCAGCTGCATTCTACTAACCTATTTCGCTTGCTAGGTTTACTCTTCAATCCTGAAGATGGAAGTATTTAGACTGCATCTAATGTCATCGTATCTTTATCTACTTTAAATTACTGGTAAATTGATTTTCATTTAACGACGACTATCAAGGAATTTAACTCTTTTGCAAAATGAATTAATTACTTAGAAATCATGGCATGTTACATTATCCCCACCACAAATATTAACCGTTTCTATGATGAGAACGTGACATCTCTGAGTCTCTTCTTTTCTGAATATTTCCTTTACCATTTTCTTCTTACATTCCTTGAAAGAAAGTCAAATGCATAAAGAAGATTGAAGTAATTCTTCAAAATTTTCATTTGCGAGAGTTTTTCCCCGCCTGGAAAGAGCATCGCAATTAGCGAATAAATTACGCAGTAAATGACAAAGCTGAACTCATAAACGATTGAATAATCACTTCGATATTTACAAAGGAACCTTCTTAAACAACCTACCCTATAAATTTTACATAAATAAGAGACGCAAAATGGCGACACGCCATGATAATAAGATGGAGTAGAATATAATTATTTTACGGTTTGCAGTACTTCACGTGTCTAACTAATTTGAAGTGATAAATTAACGTAGATTTCTTTCGATATCAATGTTGAACCTCGAAGGAACGAAACAACAGCTTAGAGATATTGGTTTAGATGCAGATTGGCTATTTACGATTTACATCTCGAAGAAATACATCATCATGTTCATAATTTTTATGTGTCTGATTTTACAAACGTCAGGATATCTGCACTTTGAAGTGGTACAGAGCGTGTGTGACATCGCGAAGCGGTACTTCACACTGGGACACACCCTGGTTTTCTCTCACGGCACACCAGCAAACACCCAGCTTTCCTCTGAAGACACACTCCCACACCATAACGCTATTCATAAAGATGACTTCGATGATCTGCATTATTCCGATGATTTATGGCAATTGTTACTGGAGGAATTCAACAGGTTGGAGTCATGGTCCTTAATTTCCTCTGGCCCAAATAATGACTTCAAGGAGATGTCAAACAGCAAGCACGAGGCGTATGTGTTGCTGTCTGAACGCCAGCAACCTGAAGACGTCGTGAAGGACATAGGACTCCAAGTGAAGGAACTCAGACGTAGCTGGGAGTGGAACCCACGCGGAAAGTTTGTAATAATTGTCATTGAGATAGGAGATGTAGACGCGAAACTGCTTGCTGGAGACATTTTTGCTGAACTGTGGATATCAAGAATAGTGGATTCGCTTGTCTTGATGCCATCGCTGGAGAAACACACGGCTCAAGATGTTGTGAACATACTGGACGCCTATCTGTGGTTTCCGTACCTTAATGCAGGCCACTGCACTCATGTGAAAGGCGCCGTTCTCTGGGATCGTTGGATATCGGACAATAACAGCAAGGGACATTTTCTTCACGCTGAGACCCTTTTCCCACATAAAATCCCAGGAGATCTTCGCGGTTGTCCGTTAACAGTTTCTACCTTCGAGATGCCGCCTATGATTATGAGGAAGGTGACTACCAAAGCGGAACCCAAAAATATTACATACGACAAAGGCCTGGAGATACAGATCCTAGCAGAACTTGCGAAAAGTACAAATAGTCTCGTAAAATATCGGGAAGCTCCTCCCGACGGTGGACGGTGGGGATGGCACCTCGGGAACGGAATATGGAACGGTGTGACCGGTGAGATTGCAAGGAGCTACTCAGATATTGGTGTGAATTGTTTGTGGTACAGGTGTCACATGATCAGAGAAATCGAATGTCTGAGACCGCATCTTATCGACAAGGTGCAGTGGTACGTCCCCTGTGCCACGCCGTACCCCAGATGGATGAGCCTCACCAGAGTGTTCACGCTATCTCTCTGGGTGGGGTTTGTCGCCGCGTATGTGTTAATTTCAGTCATCATGTGGCAGATAGTGAAAGTAACCCGCAAGATTTCTGCAACAGCCTCCCAGAACGAGGCCTACACCAGCCTAACCAAGTGTCTTCTTAACTTCTGGGCTATTATTTTAGAGGAATCCGCTTCCAACAACCCTCCGGACGTGGCTGTGATCAGAGCCGTATTCTTTGCGTGGGTGTTATATTGTTGGGCTGTTAACACCGTGTACCAGACATACCTTACAAGTTTCTTAATAGACCCAGGGCTTAAACGCCCGCTGGCATCAGAAGATGAAATTCTAGCATCTGGAATCGATTACGATACTGAAACAAGCATTATCTCTATATATGATAGTATCTCTGAAATGCGTTACAAACGCATAAAGGTTACTAACGACATTGAATCAACGGAGGAACGAATCGTTAAGGGTACGTCGGCGTTTCTGTTCTCTAAATATCTCTTGGACTATAGTATAGCTGTCAAATATATGGATGCGAACGGTAAGCCTAGAATTTGCAAGCTCGAAGATGATTTTGCTGCCAATCTAATAACGATGTTTGTTCCGAAAGGTTTCCCGTTCAAGGCCAGGTATGATCAGGTGTTACTCTTCTTAATGCAAGCTGGGTTACTGAATCTGTGGTGGGAGAACATTAAGTATACAGCCACTCTGGAGACAGCTGGAGATATGAGTCTCCCTTCTGGAGAATACATAGCCCTAACGATGGAGCATTTGCAATCAGCATTCTATTTCCTGCTCCTGGGGTATGCCATATCTGTTTTTTCGTTCTTATTAGAGATAATCTGCCTCCGTCATAAGACGCACAGAACCAAACTGATAAAAACAGAAACAGCAAACAAAAATACTGAAAAAACAGCCGCAATTTTCGACTTTCAACTCATATCGGAAAGTCACTAATCCTGCAGCGACTTAAAACTAAAACTGAAAAATAACACTATAGAAGGTAAAAAGAACGCAAAGTTATCCCTTTACTTAATTAATTATACACCACGCCATGGAGACGTATCATATCCACCATTATTAAGCTAGGCACTAGATGGAAATAAGTTGTCAGAGTTTTCATGTCAGGAGAAATAGACCACGGCACTTATGTTAACATTAAAACTAAAGAGCAAATATAGTTTTGGTTTGTACTGACGGAACATAAACTTCATTCCAATTGAATGTTAAATCGATTTTCATTGGTTTTATCAGAATGTGACATACAGATCTTATTGCGATCTGCAGTATCTTTCATAATTCTGGAACTAACAGCAATAGAAGATTCAAGAACAAACTGTCACTCCATGCAGTGAGATTACACCTCATATAATTTTCATTGTCCTTTGGATTGGTGAAGACGCACTGGTCGGTCTTAAATGTATGCGCAGACGTATTGAACATAATGTTGTATTTTAGCGTCCTGTTGCACTGATTTTCGTCCATGATATATATATACAGTGGCCGTCTTGTAGTGCATCCACTCTCACCTGTCACTTCACAACATGTTTCGGCAACAAATGCTGCCTATGACTCCAGATTTATGGGGCACTCTCTATAAAGATTTTGTGTAACTCTTTTTGAACGAGATGAATATTTAACGAAACACAAATCAAAACAATTTCCGGTCCCAAACAGTGTGATTATTTGTGTAAAACCCGCATTCCTCTCTGCAAAATAATGTAGCCGTTATAAATTAACGTTTTTTTTATCGAGAAAATGCACAGTTATGTAAGTTTCATAACTTCGGTTTTATTACAAAGATAATACTGACTAATGTGATCCAATATACATGCATCACCTGTGTTATTAGGCCTGTTCGTTCTCAACTAAATGCGAAAATTATTTGGGTTAAGAGCTAAGGGTATGTATGCATCATAACAGGCCTGATTTACAGGGCGTCACATTCCTTCCTACAAGGCAGCGACAACCACTGCCCTTGCTACGTCTTGCAGTACTCCTAACGCGCAAAGCCAGGTAAAAAAAACAGTCTGTGTATAGTTAACTCAATTTCAAAATTTAATTTTCATTGAAAAGGTAATACCAAATAATGTGATTCAGTACATATGAATACTGCATGATATCAATTGTATAACGATATAGCAATGAAAAGGTGAACAAGGAAGGCTCTGAATTACAGAATCTCAACGCACAAGTACTTCAGAGAGAGATTCCATAAACAAACAAACAAACAAACAAACAAGCAAACTCCATTGCCTATAACCAGCAAGCTAACTATACAGACCGATCGACCGCCGCTTGTCTGCGAAGTTAGAGCCAACTTTAGCGGATAGAAGTTGCCATGTGGTCAGCGCAACGGATCCCCACGGCCGTTAATTTCGGTTTTCAAGGCCGGAACTGCTTTTTCCTTGAAACAGTTCCTCAATTATCCTCACGTGGCTGAGTGGACCCCGTTCCAGACCCACTTCTCAGAAAATCTGGTAGCGCCGGGAATAGAACCCGGGACCTGTGGATCTGTAGCCAGGAACTCTGACCACTAAATCAGAGAGGCGGTCGAGAGATTCTATACAACACATAAAACAGTGACGTTTCACATTTAGTAATATCAAGTAGGAACAGACATGAAACGTGTAGCTGTAAGATTAACATTAGCTGTAAATTAATATCAAGACGACTGACGTCTGTGATGTAGCGCGTATAGATCTTGTGTAAACCGACGTTTCGGAGGAACATATCACCTCCATCTCCAGGGTAGAAAAATCCGCGCGCGAGGAACCAGCGTGAACAGGTGGCTGCAGTCTGCTCACGCTGGTTCCTCGCTCGCGGATTTCTCTACCCTGGAGATGGAGGCGATACGTTCCTCCGAAACGTCGGTTTACACAAGATCTACACGGCGCCACAGCCCAGAAGACGGCATTCTTCATAGTCACCGTCGTGAAAACCTCAAATCTTACACAATGAATGCAGTTGGACTACATGTGATTTTAAAAAATGAAGTGCATGGTATATTGCAGTAATAATTACATTTGCTAAGTTAATTGATTATCATAGGAAATATATTTAAGGCACTACGATTGAATACATGCATAATATTTATGTAAGATTTAGGTATTGCTTTGAATGGAACTAGAAAGAATGTAGAACCCACAACATGAATAAAGAAAGTTTTAGAAATGAAGCTGTTGCAGGTTGTTTCACAATGATATCCTATACATGTACAATTCAGCAACCTCATACACATTTCACCATATGAAGAACAGTACAATTTTAAGTCACGCTACAAGCTTTGCATCAGCGATAAATTAGACTCTGGATCAAAAAGGTATGTAAAAATCGGAAGGAATGAATTTGGAAAATATATATGTATACACAGCCTTACGCCCAATCACCAACCTGAAGGACAGGGACTATACTTCGTCTAGGCCCTACCCTTTGACCTATCTGGCGTATGTGGTTCTACCAGGAGCTTACTCTCCCGCCAGCATGGCTCTCGTGGTTATTGGGGCGCGCATATCTCCTTTCCACGATAGGGAAGTAGTCCTCGAGGAGAAATTCTGTACACACACATTATTATGCACTGGCTGAATGTAATGAAGGAAGCACCTACAACAACACTACCTCTGTTCTGTCGGAAACACAATAATTTTAGAAACGAACACTAACCGTATGCGTCATCGATAGAGGCAGATACCATTAGGACATCATCAGAAAGTCACTACATTAAAATGTTCAATCCTCTTCCTGTATTCATACAAGGGCTGGAAATTCAAGCATACTCGTACTTACAGAGTTTTGTTCCTAAAGGTTCCCTACAGAAGCGCTCTGGATCCTACAGGATACCGATCATGGTTACCAGCAGCCTGCAGTGTGGAGCTCATCTCAAAAGCTTGAGTGTTCGCCTTGTTATTACTGAGTGTATAAAATTAAAAATTACGAAATAGGGGACGCGTCCATTGTCATAATATTTATACCAAATTTCGTGAAATCGGTCCATTGGTTTAAACAAGCACACCACTGCGATCTCATAGCCCAATTTATTTTCCTAAATGAAGGGTTGTGTATTAAATTCTTTATGCTAATGGTATTGTTTAATGTAGCAGTTCTGTCTCAATAGTATGCACTGTGTTGTTTTATCCTTGGATTCATTCCAGACACCTCGAACGCAAGACCAACTTTTCCCCAGACCTCCACTTCCCCCTACAGTATGTTGGGACCGATCTACTATACGAACCAGATTACGTTGAACTCTGTTAAGGTAACCTTACGGAAGAGAAGTCCTGTGTAGGTGTCTTCTGGTTTCCCATCGAATTTATGAACACAGGAAGTGCGTTGAAAATCGAATCTAACAATCTAGAATCTAATGATTGTCTAACGGCCTATGTCAGTAACTAATCTATGACGCATACTCGATCCCATAGCACACAGATCATAAGTGTATTTACTAAAAGATAAATAGAAATATGAGTTATCTGCAAAAATCTAATAGGAAGACGATACATACGGCCAGAACACATTAATTTGACTGACGCTTGTACCGAAGCATCTATTGTAAATGTTTTCCGAATCCTTTAATAACCCATAAAGCCTTTTTCACCAGTTCAAAATTTACTCTTGGTGGTATATTCCGATTCCAGACTTCCCTGATTTTGTAGGTATCAATCTTTACATAAAGAAATAAGAAATGTAATGTCCTCTCCGCGTAAGTTGCAGCGAGTTCGAGAAAACGCTGATGGAGGCGCCATTTGATAGGTTAACATTGGCCGCAATCACGCGAATTTCTAGTTTTCAATAATGCAAACAGTGGAAATTACTGGTAGGAGGATCAGGCCATCCCGTCGCCCTCACTTTCAGATCGCAGCACTGAAAATGCGGACATACAACCATATCCTGGGCCGTTAAACACATGCGATTCCATCTTTCAATGACTCACGGACTCTGAGATCGAAATAAAGAAATGAATATGAAATTCTTCACTTTAGACTGCAATTATTAAAGTCATTTGGGCCTACTATTCCGGCTCCGTCTTCGGTTAATTAATTAATACCATTGGATTTCTTTGTATTGTCATGATGTAACTATTAAGTGGGACAGCCAGAAATACAAATATTTAAATTTCGTTTCTGTCGATAAATCGTCGTACATTCAGTCAGTAAATAACAGGAAGAAAGAAACAGATCACACACATTTATGAACCTCTTTCACAAGAAATCAATGCAATATGAATATTTCACCATCCTACCGAAATACAAACGGTAACAAAAATTAGCAACGCCAAAGTCAAACAACGGAAGAACAAACATTTTCTTACTGTTAATTTCTTTCATGTTTTCCAGTAAACTCTCCTAAATTTATTTGCCCGAGTCATAAGGTCATGTCCCTTCTCCCTAAAACTTTAGAATTTCGATTACTTTCACATACCCAAAATCGAATAAAATAATGAACCTCCAGAAACACAACCAAACTTGCATAATGATCGAATGATTTTGTAAAGCTAGTTCAAATTAATATTTATACATTCAACCTACCAGTTTGTTAATAATATTAATAAATTCATTAAAAGCATTTTTATTTGACTTAGCCCGTGAGTCATCCCGGTTTTTAGCAATACTCAACACCATGGAAAACTGTGTTCGTAATTTTCCTCAATCTATCCGAATGCCGTCGGATGCGCCGGCTTTAATCTGTGGTCGCAAGGGTTTTCGTGCCCACAAGGCGAAAACCAATTTTAACAGAGCAAATACTTGATGACCGCTTCTTCCGGAGCCCATTGAACCTCATTCGACTCGAGTTAACATCTACGGGTTTTGTAGTCAGTCAGAGTCTGAGTTACTTTACGACTGCCAGTTTACTGCCAATCATTTCGTCTTGGCGACAACTCCTTGAGATTCACGACAAGTATTTTTTTGTCAGCTGAACACTTGCGGTCATAGCCCTTATGTAACATCCTCTCTGTCGAGAGGGTGGATCTGTCGTTTACAATTCCTGCTGACTATCGCCAGTACAGTAATTCTCAGATTCGAGTCCAGCGGGACTCAAGATCACATTTTACTGTCTCAGATTCGACACTTCCCCAACCTGCAGGACCAGGTTCCCATATCCCACCAGAACAGAGTGACCAGGTTACACGACCAGGCACTGAGTTTCCTATTCATCGCCTCCTACGATTCGCAGGCATACAGTGGAAGTATTCTTACACACCTCCACGCGGGACCGGGTTTTGTAGAGATGTGAAATAACCTATATATGTGTCTTTACGTCGCCTTTACTATGGAAATATTATCAAGTAAATGCACCCAGTTAACGATTACATACAGGCACCATATAAACAACATGTGTATCTACATTATAGCCAACTTAAAATTTTTACTGGACAGAAATACTGTCTGTCTACCTAGTAGCCAAATACAAGGAGCAAATGAATGCTTCGTCTTCGTACGAACACGTTTATTTGTAAACATGTTATTAACAGCGGTAAGTAAACATATATCTCTAGCAAAATTATATTAATCTGAAATACAGAGTTCTCATAAATCATAGTTGCCTATATTGGTATGATTCATCATGGCAGGTGTGGTTCCAATGCGTGGTAAAACGTCAGGTAGAAAGCAGTGGACCTTACACGGTAAATTATTGGGAAATGTGTTATTTTGTTATTGTTAAGGATGTCAGTAATTGTGGTGTCAATAACAAAGTTGCAAGTGTACGGTTAAATTAAGTTGGAAGTAGTCTTATAAACATTATACAAAAACATAACCTTAAATGGTAACCTCTTGTTAATATTCGGCTCTGAAGTACCATCATGAATACGGATTTAGTGTTAGAATTTTGAGGTTCCAAACAGGAGAATTGGAAAATTACAATCTTACAATCAAATATACCTGTATATTTAATCTCATTCAGTGTAAACACGACATCTTTCTAATTTTTCCCAGTGAGGGTGAGCTTCCACTTTATTAATCAAGTTAGTTTTAAGTTTGAAAAACTGCGAAGGGATGCAAATTTGATAAAAAGAGATCCAGATACGCTCATCAAGAGCATTAGATATTTAGTCCACCCGTTAGCTTCCCCTACCTTCTTGTGTCACCTTTGTCTGTTAATTCAAAACTGTTGATTATATAACTATTAGTGGCTTTCCTTATGTAAGAGGTCCTTATTAAAGGTACTACTGTTGTAAATATTGTTATTTACGGTATTTACCCACGGACAGGGGATTTGGTACATGGAATGTTCGAAGTATGTTTAGGGGAGGTTCGCTCAGGGCAGTGGCAGAAGATATCTTAAAATATAAGATAGATTTAGTAGGGGTACAGGAGGTCAGATGGGGCAGAGGTGGCATCACACCAGCAGGTGAATTTTCCTATGGAAAGGGGAATGAAAATCATGAATTAGGTACAGGTCTTTTCATACATAAGAGAACTGTATCAGCAGTTAAGAGGGTACAGTTCATTAGTGATAGGATATCTTATATAACACTAAAAGGTCGCTGGTGTGATATCATCGTTATGAATGTTCATTCCCCAACAGAAGACAAAATTGATGACATAAAGGACAGATTCTATGAAGAACTGGAACATGGGTTTGATAAATTCCCAAAGTACCCTATGAAAATTTTGTTAGGAGATTTCAATGCCAAAGTAGGTAGGGAAGACATTTTCAAACCAACGATTGGGAATGAGAGTTTGCATGAAATTAGTAATGATAATGGAGTTAGAGCAGTAAACTTTGCCACATCAAAAAGTCTTACTGTCAAAAGTACAATGTTCCCACATCATAACATCCATAAATTTACTTGGACATCTCCTGATGGGAAGATACACAATCAAATCAACCATACTTTGATAGATAGGAGACGACATTCAAGTATACTTAATGTCCTGTCATTCAGGGCAGCAGATTGTGATACTGACCACTATCTGGTGGTGGCAGAGGTTAGGGAAAGACTGGCAGTGAGCAAACAAACAGTGCACACAGTTCATATGGAGAGGTTCAATCTCAAGAAATTAAATGAGGTAGAGGGTAAAGAACAGTATCATGTTGAAATCTCAAATAGGTTCGCGGCTTTGAAAAACTTGGACACTGAGGTGGATGTTAATAAAGCTTGGGAAACTGTTAGAGAAAATATCAAAATTTCTGCCAAGGAGAGTCTAGATTATTATGAGCTGAAGAAGCATAAGCCATGGTTTGATGAAGGATGCTCAAAATTATTAGACCAAAGAAAACAAG